ACGGCTCGATCGGTGATTTGAATTGCCGTTGCCGGCACTAAGGGGGCGGGCGAACAAGTGCAAAATTGAAAGTTGGATCAAGTGACGACTATCTTTTCGGTCTTCGCGTCAAACACTCATAGATTATAATCTTTCGGTGTGGCGTGCGGAGTGCGGAGTGCTGAGGAATATCTCATGTTTACCATGGGATGTTCCCGACCCTAATCTATCCATGTATGTTGCAGCATGTACTAGGCAGGGTGTTGTACAACACGAGGTGCTCTTGTACTAGGCTTGGCTAAACACTCAACCAAAGCTCTGGGACAATCATGACCCATGGATTTGAAACTTTCAAATACGTACCAAGCGGTCCAATGCCGCATAGAAATTCCTCCAAACTCCACGAACAATCCTAAACATCACAAGATAAGCCTAGTTATTGCGCAACCTGTTGAGGTTCAACCCAGAATACTCAAATACTAATCTTACTGTACTCTTAGCTCAACGGCCATGTTCGAGATGTCTAAGCAATGGGAAGGAGGATACGTGTGTGGATGTTCAACATAAGAAAAGGGGGCGCCCAAGGCTGAGGGATGAGCGCGAGCCTCGATACGAAGGAGCAGGATCGAATTACCCACCGCCGGCAGATACTATGAGAAGACCCATGCCCATGTTCTCTACTGGCGACGTTTCAATTTCGACTCCATATTCCGATGCCCAGCGAAATAGCGGCTACAGAGTTCTCAAGTCGCAAGGAGGAAATCCAATGAACCACTCCATGGTTCCCACACCAATAAATACCAACGTTTACGGGGAAACGATGCCGACAAATCAGCGCATGATACCTTATGAACCGGCATGTGCATTTCTCACCATGGAAATGCAAATCGCCAAAACAACGCAGGCTTTTTCGGGAGTGGTCGGTGCACACTCGGTCGTGGGGAGGAAGTTGCATGATATTGTGAGTGTTAGCGATCGAGATAAGATTTTCCGACTACAGAGCGGATTCGAAGATGAGCGACGAAGTCGAGATCCAAGTTATCTCCCTCCCATATTCTCGAAAGAGGAGGAGGATAGGGTGATTCAGTCCTTGACATTTGCACCCAACGAGATGCAGCAATTGAGAACTGATCGACCAGAAGTCTTTACGTTCCAGACACCAGACGGTCAGCAGAGGGGCTTTCACGTACAACTGGGCCTCGCGAAAAAGGATTCGATTTATTTTGTGCTTCTGGTGGTTCATATCCCAACCACGCCGCAAGCATTCCAACAGTCATCTTCGCCGTATTCGAGAGATTCCTTATCTCGTGACTCCACTTATGCATACCAAACCCCGAGCCAATTATCATATGCCTCTCAAACCCCGGGAACCTCGCCGTTCATGTCGAATCCCCCTTTTGGGAGCGATATGTTAGCATATCGCAATCCGGGACCTCCAGCGCAAACCGTCGCCATGCCAAATAATAATTCTTCATATGGACAACCCCCAACAAGAGCGCCGGAATATTCCCGCGCGCAAATGAATTACCCGCAAGCGCCCATGAATGAAATGTTATCAGGCCAAGCACAACCCCAAACACAACCAGCACAAGCAGCACAAACACAAGCGCCTTCACAGCCCCAAACTCAGACGCAAACGCAACGAGCCTCGGATCTGCAACTCCCGCCCATCCGTGGACAGGCACCTCCAATGGATGTCAGGGGACAGGGTGATCGTAGTAGTCGGGTGGATATCGGCGGACTCCTGCAAAATCCGGATCCCTCTCGGAGAAGGAAATAAATCCCATACACGCGGGCGGGCGGGCGGAAGCCATTTAATTAATTAATTCGTGAACACCATGTGCACATCTATCTCTATCTCTATCTCGCCCCCTCTCTCGCTTTCCGATCTTGTGATTTTCAAGAAACGAAAATTTAATATCTCATTCTTGGCGGATTGGATTGGATTGGATTGGATTTGGGTTGGATTAAATGCGATCGGATGGATGGATGGATGGATGAATAGGTTCAAATTTAGGGTTTGCAACGAACGGTCGGGAATCCACCGCTTGAATTTCACCTCTCAAATAGGCAGGCAGGCAGGCGGAAATGCATTTAAAACTTACCAGACGGGAGTTTACAGGGGGACGGACCCGGGAATTCTTTTTGAGGTGTTTCATCCTTCGTGTCGTTATTATTCATCTTTTGATTCTTGTATTATATATTTTATTGTATGCATGCATGCCGAGCCAAGTCAAATCGAGCCAATTTTATGTTGTTATGTTGTGTTGTGTTGTGTTGTGCTATTTTCATCCTTCGTTGTCTTGTGTTGTCTTGTCTCGTGTTGGGGGGGAATTACAGGCGCATGGTTATGTATACGTATATATATACATGCCCGTGGACATACATACATATCTGTTTGTTTGTTTGTTTGTTATATATCGTCATTATCACCACTATGAAATTGATTTGAGCGGGATTTTTTTTCCGGGGGGGAAAGGGGGGGAGTTTTGTGCGATGTTTTTGGAGGGTTCGGTGGTGAGGGAAGGGGGGGAGGGGAAGGTGAAATCGACTCGATTCGCAAGGAATATCATATAGGAGAATTTGTTCATTGATTGTATACCTAGGTAGCGGACTGTGGCCGACTTTCCTCCTTCGATCTTTTGATCTACGTCTTTGCGAAGACTATAATGCAGGCTGCGGGCGTTGATCTGGTTTGGTTCGGCTAGGTTGTTACGTGTATGTATATGTGGATTTTTTTTGTGGTGTGCGGGGAGGGAATAGGGAGGTTTTTGCACGTGTGTGTGAGAGAGAGTGAGAGAGATTAGAAAGGAAGGAGGTTGTGTTATATTTTTATTTTATTTTATTTTGTTGCTTGCTTGTTTGTTTGTTTGTTGAGTGATTGATATTTGGGTTTGAGATTTGGGTATTGAGATTCGGTATTTGAGTTTGGATGGATGGATGGATGGATGGATGGATGGATGGATGGATGGATGGATGGATGGATGGATGGATGGATGGATGGATGGATGGATGGATGGATGGATGATGGATGGATGGATGGATGGATGGATGGATGGATGGATGGATGGTTGGACGTATGGATAGGAGGAATTGGAATTGGAATTTGGGTACAGGTTTGGAATTGGGTATGGAAATGGAAATGGAAATGGAAATGGAAATGGAAATGGAAATGGAAATGGAAATGGAAATGGAAATGGAAATGGAAATGGAAATGGAAATGGAAATGGAAATGGAAATGGAAATGGAAATGGAAATGGAAATGGAAATGGAAATGGAATGGAAATGGAAATAGGTATTGGGCACTAGGTATAAGGGTTTAGAATGGGATTTGGGTTTTAATTTTGGTAGGTGGGGTGGGTGGGTGGATGAATGAATGAATGAACGAATGAATGGAGGAGGGAATGGTTGAGGGGGGTCATGAAGTGGAGAGATGATGGTGATGGTGATGGGGATTGAGATGGAGATTGAGATGGTGATGGTGATGGTGATGGTGATGGTGATCGAGATGCTGACGGATATGGGAGATGGTGATGGAGAAGTAGGAAAGGAGGAGGTGAGGTGGTTAAGAATGAGCTTGAGATGGAGATTGAGCTAGATGATGATGATAATGACTTGATAGTGAAAATGGTGGAGATAATAGGAAATTCAGAGATTTTACAACTTAAGTTTCTAAGATTCTGAGTTTCTAAGCTTCTGGGGAGATGATATGAGAGAGAAGTGCTTCGATGAGCATTCAGTAAGTTGGTGCTGTGGTTTTGTATCGTGTGGTGTGTATGTTATGGGATGATGTGATGTATACGCAATTCTATACTTCAAGCGAAGAGGGGGTAAGAAATTGAGATTAAACGGGGAGGAAAAGTGTAGGGTAGGTTTTAGGTTTAAGGATTTGAGAGAGTTATCGAGAGAGGGATGGATTCTAGGTTTGCCTCCCTATGCATAAATCTTTATATATGTCGTTTGAATATTATTGATGGTTGGCTGGTTTATAGATTGGGGATATATGTAATTTTATCCTGGTGCTGGGGGTCTTGTTCTTGTTTTTGGTTGTGGGATTGGATGGATTGGATGGATTGGATCGAGTTGAGTTGAGTTTAGTTGCGTTTTTGGAGAATCTGGGGTGCAGATAGTGTCCGTTTGTCTGGCGAGCAAGTGGGGAGGGAGTAGGTGGTTAGGGGCGGAGTTTTGATTGGACTTGTAAGTATATATATCTGTATGTGTATATGGGATTGGGTTCGTAGGAACCTTAGAGGGATGGAGCGGTGGGTGTGTGGGTGGGTGTAGTCGAGGTAATTAGTGGATGAATGAGGTTTGGATTTGAAAAGGGGTTGAGATGATGGGTAGGTATGATGGGTAGGCATGATTAGTAGGTATAGTGAGATTGAATGATCGAGCATTGGGGAAGATATAAGGAGACTATGCAGTAGTCTTGCTGAATGCATGGAGGGTGGTTAAGGAAGATTCGACAAGGGTGTGGAGATTGGTTGGGTGTATTGTTGCTGGATGAAGGGCTGGGTTTTTGTTGGGACGGTGGACTAATCGATCGGTCTAAATCTTCAACCGTTCATGTAGTCTTACTCCTTTTTGTCGGTGGTGTGTTAGAAGTACTTATCGGCCTGTTGAAAGATGCTTCGGTTCCAAAATATCATGCAAAGTGTGCTCTTCGGTAGTAGTATGTAGAACAGTTGGCATATCAATGAATATTGCTATTCTCCTTCGCGAATAGATCGCTATAGTGTTTTTCTACGAAGGTCAGCAAGGAACTTTGTCGCGACAAATGTATCTTACCATTGTCTGTTTTTTCCCATCGCTAACTGCTCTTCTACAATAGCGTAGGATTCTCATCCTTCATCACAAACGCGAAATCTGGTCAGGTGGGCCTCACGTGCTGCTGACGACCCCGCACTTGAGAGCGAGTACCTCTAGGTTTGTATTCAGCAAAACTCTACTAACCTTCTCCTTTAGATCATTTATCAAACTATTTCAAGTTACCTAATTTTCAATGTGTGATATCATCTGATATGTCTTCCTATTCATATTCATCGCTTCCGGCAAACGGCGAAAACATTCGCCTGCTTCGACTGTTACCAAGTGAAGATGAGGCTGCACCTTTACATTGCGAGCTCCGAGATTATTCTCTACGAAGATCAACTCCACGAACTCACTTGTACGAGGCTCTATCTTATGTATGGGGTGATCCAGACAACACTTTGCCAATATTTGTAGACAAGAGACAGTTTCAAGTCACAGTGAATTTACATGCTGCTCTGTTATGTCTTCGAGATCACTCCTTCGAAAGGGTTTTATGGATAGATGCTATTTGTATTGACCAGAATAACAATGAAGAGAGAAAACAGCAAGTTCAGCTTATGGCAAGGATTTATAACAGTGCGAGTCGCGTTGTAGTTTGGCTTGGAGAGGAGATAGAAGAAATAAAGGGAGCACTTGAGGACATACAAGTAGCTTCTAATGAAGAGCCAGGAAAAAACTCAAAGGAAGTGATCAAGAAGGAAAACATAATCAAACTTCTTCAAAATCCATGGTTCCAACGTATCTGGGTGAGGAACACATTCTCAGCCGAAGTTAATAGACGATGTTGACAGGGTTACTTCAGGTGCTTCAGGAAGTTGCCGCGGCTCAACATATCGTAATTATGTGTGGCTCGATAACCATTGCTGGATCTGCATTCTGCGCGGGATTGAAGTCCCTAGAGCTCTACTATACAGATTCTCCAGAACAGCAGACTCTTCCTTCAGTTGTTGACATAATAGAGCGCGCTGGCCTCCAACCTAAATTTAAAGCGAATTCGCGAGAAATGTTCTCCCTGAAGATACGATCTTTAGCTGAATTGATAGACATGTTCCATACTCGTCAAGCCACAGACCGTCGCGATAAGGTTTATGCTTTACTTGGTATGAGCTCTGACGATCCTGAAAAGACTGGCTTGCAACCCAGTTACGAGACTTCCTGGGATAAGATATTTCGGCAAGTTGTCAATTTTGTTCTCGGCAAAGATATACCCCTGAAGACTTCTAACCAGAGAGCGGTGTTTCAATGCAAAGGCGTCATTTTGGGCCAGGTATCCTCGGTAGAAAGGAACAATAACCAGCATATAAAAATCGTATCTGAATTCCACTATCGTGCCTTTGGCGACACAAATAGATGGACCCTTCAGGCTTCCGCGATACCTATCCAAAGGCATGATATTATCTGTCTTCTACATGGAGCTTTAAAACCTTCGATAATCAGGATATGTAAGGATCACTTTGCCGTTGTCGTGATTGCAGCGACTCCTTTAAATTCGAGAACTCATTTCGACTGGCACCAAGTTTTTCAATCAAAGACGAAGTCATTGCGGAGTTTTTTAGTGGTGTGGGATTGGGAGAGTTCCCATAGAAATTTGCAAGATGAAGAATACTATACGACCTTGAATACATTCAGTCAAGCCTTGGGAATTTCAAGATTAGAGAACGGAAGATTTTCAGAGAAAGAAACTAGATTGTGGAATGATATAGCGATATTGGATGACTTGGGAGCATCCGAAGAAGCAGATGAGAGACTTATAGCAGCACAAGATGAGTACTATTTGGCAGCATTTGGTGAAATGCCATCTTCGTATGAGTCGGTGGGTAAATGCGGTCGGACAATACTAGCATTCGCTGCTGCGAAAGGGCATGAAGATATAGTCAAGCTGCTACTAGATACGATTCATCCAGATGTAAAGGATGGGCGCACTGGTCAAACACCACTATGCCTTGCTGTTAAGAGTGGACATGAAGCAGTTGTGAAAATGCTACTCGCAACTGGCCAGGTTGAAATTGACTTGAACGATTGGCGGAATTGGAATTCTACGCTACTATCGTTGGCTGTTGAAGATGGGCACGAGGCTATTGTGAAGCTATTATTAGCAACTTGCCCGTTAGGTGCTGATTGGAAGGACTATCATCTGGAGAACTATTATCAACAGGAGCTGTTTTGGCAAGCTGCTGAGGAAGGACATGAAAACATTGTTAAGCTATTATTAGCAACTGGCCTGGTTGATGCTGATTCGAAGGACCACAATCAAGAGACTGCTTTATTTAAAGCTGCTAAGAATGGACATGAGTCTGTTGTGAAACTGTTAATCGCGATTGATAAGGTTGAAATTAACTCAAAGAGTTCGACGGGTGGAACACCGCTTTTCTGGGCTACTGTGAACAAGCATGAGACTGTCGTAAAACTGCTACTCGCTGCTGGCCAGCGTCAAGCTGAGTCTGGGGAATACAAAATTGAGTCTGATGTTGAGTCATCAGATACTTCGGTTTATGAATCAGATTCAAGCGAACAAAAGTAGGAATTTCATTTTTGAAGAGTTTCGAAATAAAGCTCATCACAACATGCTTTAATAGCAATATGAGCCAAACATATCGTATCAATTGGAGTTAACTATAAGGCTGTTTAAGATGATACTAATACTACTTAGTACTCTTTGTATCTAGGTATCTATACTACAGGCATATATTCCAATAACAGATGTCGAGAAACTCGAACGTAAAAACGAAATAGTAGATATATCAGTGTATTATGATACCGTATATAAATCATCTTCAAAGAAATCGATAGTTCCCGTAAAATCAGTTACTATATCCATCATAAGAGCAGAGCAGAGCCGAACCAAATGATTGATTAGCTTTTCTGACACGCTTTTTTGATTTGCAAACCATCTTGGAAGTAGACGGGGGGAATTAGAACTTTGGGTGTCAATCTTATTCGTGTATCTGGTCCCTTTTGTGTGGGATTGATCATGACTTCGAAACTGATATAATTGTAGGACACTCCTTCGATCATCTGGGGAGGAGAAAGATGATATGAGGTTACGTGTAGGGGATCTAAATTTTATATACCGGTACTTTGATGTGACGTGACAACTTTTGAAACTACGCAGATACTCGTATATATGTAGTTACCCGAGTAGAGTAGTCGAGCTAAAGATCTTAATAATGTTCTCCGAGGTCTTGAATTTTCTGACTTCGTTGTGATTTTTCCAGTGAGTGCAAACATTGATGTACTAATTAACAATAGAATAATAGAATCAGAGCAAATTCAGGAATGATTGTTAACATGCCTATCTGGATATGTCAGCCAGCCAGTATTGTGTTATTCGGAAAAACAAAGTCATCGTGGGACGACGCTACTAAAGTCTTGTCGTCATCATTCCTGTCAACAACAACAGCAACAACAACAACAACAACAACAAAACCCAAATATGCAAACTGTCTAATAAATACAACATAATGTAACCAACTCATTTTTCAAACCTTTCTCCAGAAATGCAATTGTCCATGTTGACATCTTAACATTCCAATGATTTGATTCTTCACATCAATCAAATCAAAATGCCTCTCGACGCTCGTTCTCCAGTGATTCTACACTACCTTCAGAATCTCTTCCTCATTACGCTTTGCGCAGCCTTCACTCCTCTTTTAACATCGATAGCTATACTCTCCACCCTCATATCTCCTCTCATCACCCCCAAACAAATCCAACACCCCCGCAAATGGCGCACAAACTCTAAATCCCCTCCCCGCACAATCCTCGTAACAGGGGTAGGAATGAGCAAAGGCCTCAGCATCGCGCGCTCCTTCTACCGCGCAGGCCACCGGGTCATCGGCGCAGATTTCGAACCCTACTATATCCCCGTCTCTGGACATTTCTCCAAATCGCTCCGAAAATTCTACCGTCTGCGGAAGCCGGGTGGGAAATCGGGCGCGGAGGAATATACCAGGGATATTGTAAATATCATTGAGAAAGAAAAGGTGGATTTATGGGTATCCTGTTCGGGCGTCGCGTCTGCGATTGAAGATGGGGAAGCAGCGGAAATGGTGCAGCGGAATACGAAATGTGCGGCGGTGCAGTTTGGGGTGGGGTTGACGGAGACGCTGCATGAGAAATTCTCGTTCATTAAATATACGATGGAATTGGGCTTGAATGTACCGCTTACGTATAAAATTCATTCGTGTGAAGAGGCTTTGGAGATCTTGCACCCGGAGAATGGATCATCGGTGGATAAACAGTTTATCATGAAACCAGAAATGGTCGATGATAGTGTGAGAGCTGATATGACTCTCCTCCCCTCTTCGTCACGCACACAAACAGATAAACATATTCAAAAACTCAACCCCTCACTCAAAAGACCGTTTGTTCTTCAGCAATACATCAAAGGAAGAGAATATTGCACACATAGTATTGTTCTCAAAGGCAAAATCCACGCATTCGTCTCATGTCGCTCTTCAGATATGTTAATGCACTACCAAGCTCTTCCGCCTTCATCGGCTCTCGCAAAAGCCATGTTTCACTACACTACTCTGTATATTCAGCGCGCTGCGGAAAGAACTCCCAATTCCCCAATCACCGGACATTTCTCTCTCGATTTTCTAATTGATGAGGAAATTGCTCAGAACGCAGAGGGTTCTCTTCATCCTTCATCTAAGGAAATTGAGAAATTGCAAAAAGAACTCTTTCCTATTGAATGCAATCCTCGCGCACACACAGCTGTGGTTCTACTCAATGATTCTGCGGAAGAAATGGCAGAGGCATATTTGTCACTATTATCCGACGATATCACAAATGGAAATGGAGATACATCTTTAACCACACTCCATGAAAACGAAGATCCAATAACTCCTCTTCCCCAAGCCGTCAATGGGGGTTATTATTGGATCGGTCATGATTTTGTCACGAAAGTCCTTCTCCCAATATACCACTTAATCAGCTTTCAAAAAGGAATCACAAATCTAGTAAGAGAATGGTGGGAATTCGGTAAACATGTATTACTGTGGAAAGATGGCACGTATGAGATTTGGGATCCTTGGCCAGCGTGGTGTTTGTATGTGGTGTTTTTGCCGGGATGTTTCTGGGCGAGTTTGTGGGAGCGAAAATGGTGGAGTAGGTGTAATGTTAGTACGGGGAAGTTTTTTGGGGTTTAAGGAGGGGTGATGTTGTGAGGTGTGAGGGTGTGAGGGTGAGAGGGTGTTCGGGTGTGAGGAGGGGATGATGGTATGATAGATAGTGGTTTTGAAAATAGGTCTCAGATACCATATGTAAACTGCAGTCCTGAAAGCAAAAGTTCTCGATTTCCAGATCTAATCAGAAGATTCGATGGATTTCAACTATGAAATAACTTATTTTTCACCCATCAAACCGCTAAGTGAAAATCAAGAATTCGAATCAAGAACTCATCTCCACTCATAGAATACAGAGTACTAGACACTCTCATCCTTATTCAACTCCTATGCTTTGACAATCTTTCAGAGGTTGAAATGGAAAATGTGAAGGTCTAGACAGCAAATACAGATGGATAATCAAATACTCATAAACAGTTGACTACCTATAACGTCATGGTTTTCTACCTCGAAACCTAGATTTTAGAATACCTTAGGTAGGTAGGTAGGTAGGGTAGGTACCTAAGCTTCGCCTAATTAAATACTCGCTTCTGAGTTCTCATACGAGTATTTTATTTGGTAGGTACCTATTGATAGGTATCTTTTCATCTCTCTCTGCTCCTCCCTTTCTCCGTTCCTCTCTTTCTCCTTCCTCCTTTTCTTCATTCTTCATGCACCTTCAAAATTCAATCTTCAATCACAATCCAGACTTCTCCCTCCTCTCCTCCCTTCCCTCGTCTCGCTGGAAGGAAGTTTGTTTATCTATATGGATCTACCTACCTACCTATTCGGTAAGACTAGACTAGATTAGATAGATAGATAGATAGATAGATAGATAGATAGATAGATAGATAGATAGATAGATAGATAGATAGATAGATATACTTTATAAGTCATTTGGTATAAGTGAGTGAGTAGATAAGTAAATAAGTAAGTGAGGAAATATATCTTATATATCTTATATATCTTATATATCTTATATATCTTATATATCTTATATATCTTATATATCTTATATATCTTATATATCTTATATATCTTATATATCTTATATATCTTATATATCTTATATATCTTATATATCTTATATATATATTGATTTATATAGATAGATACTTGGAAAATAAATAAAAGAGGAGAGAGAGAGAGAGAGAGAGAGAGAGAGAGAGAGAGAGAAAGTAATCTTACATAAACCCAAGCTTTTTCGATATATGTAAGTATGTAAGAAAAAGTCAGATAAGCCAAATAAGTTACGTAGATCTCTATCTTCTCTATCTTCCTTATCTTGATATCTACTCGAGTACGATATACAGAGTAGATTCAATTTCATCGAGACCTTACTCACTCACTCACTCATTCCATTAGAATCTTATACAGATACGATACTTACATTTAGACGATATAGGCATTAGATCATGGTGATTAGATAGTTCTGTTAATTACACTAGGTACCTAGGCTGGGAAGGTATGTAATATACGTAACCTGGTTAATTGGCGTGAAACGTAGTGAGTGAAGAAAAGTATATGTATATATGTATAATATAAACGGTATGTACAAAAGCTCTTATCTTAGCATATATATTCTTACAGCGCAAGGGACATCCAAGGCCCTCACATCTAAACATCATCTAGAGGCCTATTCCCTCCCCTCTTCCCTCTCCCCTCTCACCATCCAATCCAATCCAATCCAGTTCAATCCAATCTATTCCTTCTCTCCCCCCAGCTCCTTCAACCCCCTCCTCAACCCTTCCCTCTCCGTCATCTCCAACTTCTGCTTCATTTCATCCACCAACTTCGCCAACTTCCTCGTGCCCTTCTCCGCCAAACCCTTCTCCAACTTCGCCAATTTCTTCCGCATCTTCTTTTCATCCGCTTCCAGTTGCCCCTGTTCCTTTCGCTGAATCTCTTTCCACACCTCCAGCTGCTCTTTCGCATGTTCCTCACACTCCTTCTTATCATACCGATGGAAAACATCCGTGGTCCAGAAATCCGCCCTCCAGTCCCAAATTCGAGCGCCTGATCCATACTCCCTCAGGAATGCTCTGAGCCAATCATCCGCCTTGACCATTCTTAGCTTGTGGCCCCTGATCTTGGGTAATTCGTTGGGTTTTCTATCCATATGTCGCAGTTTATTTGCTTCGCGCTCTCGTGATAAGACGACTGAACCATACACAGTGCCCCGTTTCGAATACCTGACATATCCTTTTATGGCTGTACATCTTCCCTTGAAAGCCTCGATTAATTCTTCATTCGTTGTGCCGAGGGGAATTCCTATGACATTAAGACTGTTCTCGACATTCTTTTTGATTATTTTAGGATCTAAATATGTTGGCAATCCATAGATACTTTGCGATCGTTCGTGTAGTCTCGCTTGACGATTTGCTATCCTCATCTTTTTCTCTTCCTCTTGAGCCGGATCGATCTTAAATGGGAGCCCAACATGATTCGAGGATTCTGCCAACCTTTCATTATATTTACTGTCTAGATCTATCCAATTGGCCCAACCCTCAAGGCGCTCGGTACCACAGTTCACACACCGGTGATCATAGATACTGTTTTGACAACCACATCCTTCCGATTTACATGTCCAAACATCAGAGCGATGAACAAGAGCATCATTAGATGGTTGTGAAAAACCTCGATCATGTTGAGGGTATTCGGTCGATTGGTTGTCAGATCTTCCAATCCACGTGGATGAACGACCTTTGGGTTGAGAAAAAGGAGTATTATCAGATTCCTGTACAAACTCTGTCCTATTCTGTGTGTCTTCGGTCGGTTGGTAGCCACTCATTTGGATGCCCTTATAATTAAATCCTCTGGCTTGTGAATCAGGAGAGTTACGGTTGAAAGATTTGTTCAGCAGATCAACATTGAAAGAATTGAAGGCACTTGCACGACTCAAATGATATCTGATCGCTGGGTCATTAGATGCGGGCAATGAGGCTTCTGACGGATCATGAATTGGAATTTTTGAAACATCCGAATTACTATCAATCACGTCGTTCATAGAAGATGAAGAGGCCCCAGGTTGAACAAGATCCGAGACTTCGGAATCGTTCAGATCTTCCTTGACTTCAGGAACCGAGATCTTTGATCCACCGCCCGGAGTAGAATTCAAAATTTCTGACAACCTTCCAGTAATTGGACTTGTCAATTTTACCGGTATCTTCTGGAGTGGAGTCGAAAGTCTTTCTGAAGATTTTTCTAAAGTAGAATCTTTCAGGCTTGAATCGGGTGTTCGTTTGCCCTTGTCTAAAGATCTGGATGATACTGCCGGTAGCTCTAATCGTTTAATCGTTATTTCATCGAGAAGGCGGGCTAACATAGGTTCTATCTGTTGAAGATCTGGCGTAGGTGGAGGAGCAACATCCTCACAAGACATACACACAGCAGTCGCATAATCTCCATCATGACTTATACTCATCGGTACTATCTGGTCCTCCTGTCCTGCTGCTGATTTAATGAGTGTGACGGGTGCTCTAGACCTGAGGTTATCCAGAGATGGGCTGTCAATTGTAATGTCGTGGAAATTCAATTTTCTTTTGCTAAATGCTTTCTTCGCTGCTTCTTTCGCCGCAAAACTGAATAGTGTGGAGTTAGCCATAGCCTGTTGCGCGAATCTCGACTTCAATAAACTCACCGGCCAGCCACAAATCTCGCAACTCCGTGCACATTTTCTTTCAATTGAAGTAAAATTGATTCCTCTTCCTCTTTTGTCAATTTCTTCAGATCTTCTTGCGCGCCGTGGGTAGGCCATATCAAAGAACCGACAGGGCTATCATTCGCGGCAGTACTATTCAGCAGAGGCGTCTCTTTCGGCGTAACGAGTCCTATCAACGCCTCCAAGCTTTTCGCCTTCCATCTTTCTTGCTTTTCTATTTTCCCCTGAATAAACTCCCTTCGTTCCATAAAATAGAGGTATTCGATCAATGGCAATAACCTCGGTCGATACCACACTTGCTCCTGTGGAGTGAATATCCTTCTGATAAATCGATGTGCATATTTCGATTGATGCTTCGTTAGGATATCCTGAATGCGACTGATTCTGCAAATGTCGGTTCCAATGTTAACAGGAAGCGGGAATGCTCGTGGCATATTGAGTGAAAATTGGTCATATAGGTGCTGTATGGTAAATTTGTCTCATAGTGGCGCTACACATGTCGCTCTTCATCCGCAAAGACATGAGGGGAATTGTATCTATCGAATCACCAAATTGTGTTATCGAAGGGTTTTTCTCCCCAAAGTTTGTTATCCGACACAGAAGCTCGGCCCCACTACGCGAAAACACCTGATGAGACGGATTTCCGCGTCAACTAATACCTAACCTTCATCAGCATCCAACTTGTGAAAGCCTCTCAGTGTATATACATAGTGACTTATTGCTACTTTGCTGGGTTTCAGCACCTATTGATCAATTCACTGAGAATAGAATCCATCATTATACTTATCTGTGCACTAGAAGTATTGGCAATTGAAAGACTTGAATCACTACACTAGGTAGGTTCGACTTCTAACCTGAAAGATGGTCATTCAATTGTTGCAAAAGGCATGAGGTCATCACGGCAAATCCAGTTGTAAAAATCCATATAAAGGAGAATGATTCAATTTTGATGCATACACAGATCCAATTTGTCTGATAGCCCTGAACCTAGAAGTGTGATAGATTTCGCATTATCCGTCAAACAACCAAAAGAAGAAATAAAAATGGAAGAACATCCCCCAAATCCATGCGTAACACCTATTAACCCAGAGGGTCCCCAAGACATGATACCACAAATTTCCCGTACTATTTTGAAGCCCTCCTGCATCAAGTTTGGATCTCAGAATTTGACTAAACCTCGTTATATTAAGATATCCATGAACAAGTTATACCTAGGTAATGATTGAAACCACAATAGCCCAGTCATTTCCATCAATTTAGTGATCGTCCAAAAGAGGGGCTCTCTCTTGATCCTCCGAAGCGAGTGGAGTTTCTCTTCTGAATGAAATCTCCTTGCCGAAAATTCCAGGAACGGCAACTATCAATGTAGCAAGGAAGAGAGTACCCATTATGGTAAAAGCAAAGATCCACTGAAGAGCGAATACTTTTGTGAAGAATTGGCCAACGCCGATGGCTGCCGTGATGATACTGAGGGCAAATCCCATGGTGTAATCCTAATACCTAGTCAGTATTTCTAGAAACTTTGTGGTTCACACTTAGAGTTCTGAATCATTCAAACGTACCTTGTAAGCAGCAAGGAAGAAGAGTCCATATACTAAGATGCCCCAGATTGCAACATTTGCTATGATACGTGCAGGAAGGTTGTGAGCCCCAACGGCGATAGCCCCGTTCCAATACAAAGCTACAAATGTCCAAGCGAGTGGACCGGAGGTAGCGGGCATATGGATGAATCTTGGGGTGGTATTATGACGGAAGTAGAGAGAGGAAAGGTTGAAGAAATTGATGATCAATACAATCTCAGCCCATACAAAGTGAGATCGAACGAACAGCATGACGAATGCAAATTGCAAGAGATTGTTAAGAATGAAATGACTTCCAACTGATGCTGCGGCGTTGACATGTTCAACTTCGTCGCTGAAGAGGTGAAGGACATATCCAATTTGAAGAATGAAGAGGAACAACCTAAGAATGTGTTAATGATGTAAGCTCTTGGATGCTGTAGGATAGAATCGTACCAATAGAATGAAGCGATGAAAGCATTCATAGCAAATGGTGTGTGGTGTATCTTATTCTGCTCCCAAATGGTATGACGCCAACTGTGCTTGTCATCTTGAGGTGCGTGGAAGTTGTAGTAGAAGGTGACTACTACCATCAACAACCAGGATATAATTGTACATATTTTATATGTCCAGATTGCTTGGATTGGATGGGTATCTCGTCGCGCGAATGGGTTCGCTGTGTGCCATACCGTTAGTCTACAAATATATAGGAATGGATTTGAAAGAGAAAGTACCTTGCGCAAATGAAGGACTCATCGTGAAACTGTTTAGGCTGGGTCTGCGAGAATCGAGAGAATCACGTAGGATGTATGGATATGAGTTTGTTGGGGTTCGTTGACTTTGTCAAGAAAGTAGACGGTCTTGATTTAGAAGGAGGCTGATTGGTGACATTTCTCTTTAGTAAGTGCAGTTGAAAGGAGGGGAAGGGACAAACAAGATAATACGTACCAAGTATGAGCGACGGGCAAAACAAAGCAAGATGGGTATCTGTGTATCGGGGTATCTGGGTATCTTTGGTCTTTGGAGTATCACGCTTTGGTATTACGAAGAATGGTAAGAGTAGTCTCGTCGTTAATTGAGCTGTAGCATCATTCACAACTTCACCAGAATAATAAAATTAAGTTTGACTTTATTATTGGAAGGAAGGGAAGGGAACTAGAGAAGTCGCTTGCCCACCTACCGTAACCCTCGACCTATATAAACTTGAGGAATGGGAAATCAAGCTTCAACTCGAGTAGCAAGCATGACGTACGGGAAGACGGGGACCCTTGAAACGACTAGTAACCTTACCAACACTACCAACACTAAAAACACTAAAAATGCACACGATCTGTGATTTACCCCGCACTCACAACCAGCTAACAAACTCAAGCGATCCTCTCATTCGTTCAATTCGAAACTTGGATTATCGTCCACTGGTCGTCCTCCTACGAGGATTGGTCTAACGAGGTGACTGAGGAGCTGAGGTGGTCGAATATCAATGATTTTCACTGGCAATGTGATACAATACTGGGCGGAGCGAGACGCGGTGGCCAATTGAGAAAAAGGAAACACGCGGAAAGATACTACTAACAAGGTGCCTACTGTACCAGCACATGCACATGGAAGATACTCCGTGTGCTACTGAGTATATGCAATTGTGGAATTCCCGTTGCATAATACCATTGAGAACTTGTCCATTCACGGGTCAGCCTTTTGAGTTGTGCTCAAGTTTGATAAATGTGGCAGTTTGGCTGTCTAACAATCATCGACTAAAGACATTCTGTCTATTCTATCAATACTCTAGACGGGACTAGACATGTACACATTCACCCTGACTGACTAACCGACTAATTGACTGGAAGTATTGGTATAATACAATATGAATCTTTTCAAGTGACTTGATATATGTAGTAACGATGGCCAACCCGACAAAATTCCGAGTCAATCTCGGATACAAGTAGGTGCTGATAAAGGGGGAGAGAGATCATCGATGAACTTATTATACCGGAGCAAACCTTCCAACATGTATGTAGTAGGCTTGTGTAGGAAAGTACCTCTCGTGACATGAAAACAGGATTATAAATATCTAAATATACATCTTCTACATGTAATACATTCGGACAAGCAAATTGTTGCGCCAAACCATGCGAGTTACATGTTTCACCATACCTAAGACCTTACAATGTTGGTTATTTGTCTTGCCTACCTACCTGATATGAGTGATTTCGTATATTTAATAACATCGAACACCGGAATGCACTTTCCAAAATTGATTTTCCATAAACTCGAGATCATCACATTATAAATCAATTCCGGCTTGGTCATAAAAAGTAGAAAGTCAAAAGCAACCTTGGAATTATGAAGTTCAAAGATAGTAACCTTATAATCAGCTCAAAAAGCGTGACACCAGCCACATTGTTTTATTCGGAATCTAAGGAAGCTAATCCTTAATCCTTGGATTGTCTAAGGTTATCACCAGCTCCATCCATTCAGGTACCGAAGCTCTTATCAACATATCTCGTACACCGAATTACAACATAACATCAAACATTCCGAACATCCATCATACATCCATCATGAAGCTCACAAACTTGTCACTCTTAGCTCTCTCGGCATCTCTTGCATCGGCAAGATTTGTTGAACAACACGAAAAGGATCAAGTTATCCTAAACTCTAATGTCGTGGATAATGAGCGTTATCTGATCGAGATCGCCCCTGGCAAACAACAATGGGTTACAGAAGAAGAGAAATGGGAATTAAGAAGAGTATGTCTACTGTGCAACCCAGAGAAGCTTTAGCTGATATCGCGAAGAATGGACAGAACTTTATGGACATTACGGAAACTCCAGAACTTGGGACCTTCAAGGCTTCATCGGTCAAGGCGAAGTTTCCATCAAAGCCAACCCTTCAGAAAGACCTCAAACCGCTACTGAAAGACTTGAACAAGTCTAATATGCATGAGAACCTTAAGACCTTCACTAGTTTCCACACCAGATATTACAAGTCCGACTATGGTCGTCAATCCTCAGAATGGCTCTTGGAGCAAGTTCAAGGGTTGATCAAGGATGCTGGAGCCGATAAATACGGAGCCAACGCTCGTCATTTCAAACATTCATGGGGACAAAATAGTATCATTGCTACAATTCCCGGACAGAAGAACTCGACCGTTGTTGTAGGCGCACATCAGGACTCTATAAACCTCTTCTTACCTTCTATTCTATCTGCCCCCGGAGCTGATGATGATGGAAGTGGAACTGTGACTATTCTCGAAACCCTTCGTGTATTGCTTACATCCAAGGATGTCATTGAAGGAAAGGGAGAGAACACTGTTGAATTTCACTGGTAGCTGACCCTCTTCTTATTATACCAACCCAATCGATCAGTCGCCTTGAATTCACATGCATGATTCTAACATCTAATCAGGTACTCGGCTGAAGAAGGTGGTTTGCTCGGCAGTCAAGCCATTTTCTCCGAATATGAGAAGACTGGTCGAGATATCAAGGCAATGCTTCAACAGGATATGACCGGATACACCCAAAAGACTTTGGATGCTGGGGAGCCAGAGAGTGTTGGTGTGATCACCGATTTTGTCGACCCTGATTTGACGGATTTTATCAAAAAGATCGTTACCGAGGTAAGTTGCTTACAATAAGCATTGGGAGTCATAGTTTCTTGTTTCTCTGCTTACACGATTTAGTACTGTGATATTCCATATGTCGAAACAAAGTGTGGTTATGCATGCTCTGACCATGCTAGCGCTTCAAAGGCTGGATACGCCTCTGCTTTCGTCATCGAGAGCGACTTCAAGTATTCCGATAATCATATCCATACTTCGGACGACTCCATCAAGTACTTGAACTTTGACCACATGCTTCAGCATGCTCGTTTGACTCTTGGTTTGGTTTATGAGCTTGCATTTGCAAAGCTATGAGTGGCTTTGTATTGTATGATTGGTTGCTTCACACGTCATCAGGGATGATTATATTGGATTTTTTGTATTTACAAGAGAATTTGGAAGGTATTATATGGTGTGGAAGCATCTATCAGTAATCTGTATGGAATATCTGGTGGCTGTAAGATTTACATGTGTTATGCATTGAGATTATGCAAGATATATATCAGGGTCAGAGGTGCAGGTGGCTTCAATTCAATTACCTAATTATTCAGAAAATGAATCAAGAAACTAAATGATTCATTCGACGGTTGAAGTACTTGAAACACGGTACCGTATTCCTACATTGCTCTCTCTGTACGATAGGTACCTTCAAATCGACCAATTCCTAATCTTCTACCCACCGCGTTCGATGATGGCACGATTCAATTGATTCATGCATGATTGGTTCAAAGTGGATTACCCTGTGCGGCCGTGCCTTATCGGACGTCAGCCATCACTTCCTTACTAGTCTGGTAGATAGGTATCCATATGACTCCTATTCGATCAATCAACCAGCAAGTATATCTCTCTTCTGCTGCGTGTATACTTAGCAGTCAGATAGGCAGTTCTTCTTCTTATTAACAGCTCGTTCATCCGGATACCTGTCATCTTCAGAACTTCATCTCTACACTATCCCTTCCCAATTTCAATCAGACAAATTAAGATATTACTTTGCTCAATTCCTTATCTTGAATCAAAATGGCAATCTATTCATCAGTCCCGCCACCCGCACAACAGGCGTCCGGTCTAGCAGGTCCAGATATCGAAGCCTGGACGGTCTCTGCTTTAGAATCACTCAATGTTTCTCCCACTGCTCGCGGTACTGGAGTTACACTCTCTATTCCCCTCGAACAGGACGAGCTTCCCAAAGACGCGACACCCTCAAGGCCTATTGCCTACAAACCTCGCAAAGAACTTTTGAAACGCGATAGCCAAAAACACAGAGAGACATTGCTGAGGGGAAAGGAGGGCAGTCGTAGACGCCAAAGATGGGAGAACGGTGAGTGCTATTGATGAATGGTGATGTAAAATTGAAGTTGCCACTCATTTGGCATTTCGATCTCAACCATCAAAGCATGCCTTGTCACACAACGCGATACTCGGGAAATTCGGAAGACCGAGTGCGAATGACATTGATTGCTGATTTGAATTGCATTCGCAGATCATCTTCTCCATGTTCCAAATGCCCAACCACCACTTCCAAGTGACTGGGAAGTTCGCCCGACCTACCCCGTTCATCACGTACCATATTACTTGGCTCCTTTGTGGGATGCGGGTGTTCGTCACCGAGCTGAGGAAATTGCTGCTGAAAAGAAATTGGATAAAGCAAGAAAATCTGGCAGCTGTGAGGAGAGAGGTCGTGTCCCGCAAGATTTAAGGCAGAAGCTCAAGAAAAGCAAGGGAGCTAAGAGCCTTTTGCAAGACTTGGAGGAGGAGGTGAGAAAATTCGTGCAAGAGTATGAAGGAAAGCAGAAAATCCTAGGACAGATGAAGGAAGATGAAATGGATAGTGAGGATGAAGAGATTGTGTTCATTGGAAGAAATGGCACAATGAGTGATGAACAACGGAATCTAGTGGAAGAAGAGTTACAAAGAGAAAAACTAGTCTTCGATTCTTTAGCTGACGATACAGGGGCAAGCTTCGGGTATGTTATATTCCTGATCGTTTGAGAGTTCGTCCTAACATTCTTATAGACGCTGGCTTGTCCATTCGATTGCATCTTACTACGGTCTCACTTCTCGATCTATCACAGTTGGCGATCCCGCTCGTCGCGAGGCCTATGTCGGTATAAAGGAAATGGGCACAGGTGGACAGATTTCTCGTCTTCAATCAGACCTCCCCCGTCCCTTGTGGGGAATGATCTGATTGTGGAGGTTTGATATTCTACCTTGGCAGATCTATGCCATTACTCTTTTCTGCTCCGGTTATCAGTGCCACACTGTGAGCTCATTTCTCCTCTTTTTACATTATCCGGTTTTGCATAGCTATGAGATCAGTAGATGATAGATCTAATCATTATATTTAATTCGTTGAAGCTATTTGATATTCCGATTTATTACTCCATAGATTTATCACGTTCAAACAGTATTATCATTCATTGACCTTGACAATAAATGCTTCACTCAGAATGAGTTCCGACAAGTGTGTTGATGGACCAGTGGTAATTCAATATAGCAGTACTGTTTGTATGTAGTGATATCAATTACTCCAAGTCTAGTCAGGGCGTGCGCTGTCTCATCTCTCGAGCATGTGAGCGTGTCTACGGATTTATCTATTCTCGAGTCAAGTTCACGAGTTTCAGCCTCTGGTCACACATCCGAGGTATCCCTTCCGATGAAACCCCCACTATAAATTATTCAGATCCCGTACTAATTCCGCGAACATATCTCTGGAGAGGGTTTAAGAGTACAATCAAGAATTTATAAATCCACCAGAAACCCAGATATATATTTTCTTTTGCCCTTTCTTTTACTACAGCATGCGCATATAGACTTTTTTTTTTTTCGTAAGCGGCGCATCTTGCAATTTACAGTCATTATGAAACTACGAACTACATCGGCGCGATCCTTCCAACTCTTATCCGCGAATTCTAGAAGTACATATAAAGGTTCAAGGAGTTGGATATGTATGAATCGCTGTGATCTCAGCGGCGGAAATGGAAGGAGATATATCTCTGCGATCGCATTGGGACCAAGGAAAGCAGCCTCAAACTTAGATGCTACTTCATTAACACCAAGACGTTTACTGGCCCTTCCCGCATCTTTCATCGCAGGGCAGCGAAGGTCTTTGGCAACTGTACAAAATGGTACATGATCGTTCTCGCCAACAGAAAACATTTGCTAAAATTGCTGCAGAAAATCCGGATGATCGAGGACCTATGAAGGAATACAATGCGCGCGTTGCATCGGGACAATTGAGGGACGATGAACACCAGAGAGGTCAGCAACATATATGCATATTCACTTCCCGTAACAAATTCTGACGAATTATGCTTCTAGGCATTATACAGAATCTTCAACATCTCCACGACGAATTGCGATATTATAATGCGCCCGCGATTGTTCACCCAACCCTCGAATCTCTTCAACCTCGGCCAACTTCCATGTTTGGACGTATATTTGGAAACAAACCCAAGGAATCGGCCTTGAAGGAAATACCAGAGAACCTTCCTCGAGGACTTTATTTATATGGAGATGTAGGAAGTGGAAAGACTATGTTGATGGATATGTTTTATGAGACACTGCCAAGTAGTGTAGCATCGAAAACGAGGATCCATTTCCACAATTTTATGCAGGATGTTCATAAGAGGTTACACAAAATGAAAATGCAGTACGGAAATGATATTGATGCTGTACCTTTTGTGGCAGCGGACATTGCGGAAAAGGGAAATGTGCTGTGTTTTGATGAATTTCAATGCACAGATGTGGCGGATGCTATGATCTTGAGAAGGTATTGTCCCCTTTTTTCTTCGACTTGATTTTTGTTCCTCTGCTCATCTTTCATAGACTTCTGGAATCTTTGATGTCCCATGGAGTCGTTCTTGTCACCACCTCCAATCGTCATCCGGACGACCTTTACCGTAACGGTATTCAAAGAGAATCTTTCATTCCTTGTATCAATCTCCTCAAGTCCCGCCTCCACGTAATCAACCTCGACAGTCCCACAGATTACCGAAAGATTCCTCGTCCTCCTTCCGGCGTCTATCATTGTCCTCTAGACGCTCACGCGCCTACTCATGCGGAAAAATGGTTCCGTTTTCTTGGTGACCCTGAACAATCTACCCCTCATTCAGAAACTCAACATGTCTGGGGTCGGGCAATTCACGTTCCGAAAGTTAGTGGTAAAGCCGCTATGTTTACGTTTGATGAGTTGATTGGAAAACCAACTAGCGCAGCGGACTACATTGAACTTATGCGAAGCTACGACGCATTTATCGTTACGAATGTTCCTGGGATGACACATCAACAACGTGATCTCGCTCGTCGTTTTATCACGTTCATCGATGCCGTCTATGAATCTCGTGCCAAGCTTGTCTTGACGACTGCGGTACCGCTGACGCAGTTATTTTTGTCGAAGGAAGAAATTCAAGATAGCATGAAGAAAGAAGTGGAGGATAAGAAAGGGCAGAAAGAAGGTAATGAAGGAGAAGAACTTGATGATGCAATGAGAATGATGATGGATGATTTGGGAATGAATATGAATATGTTGAAGAATAGTAGCATCTTTAGTGGAGATGAAGAAAGATTCGCGTTTGCGAGAGCGCTGAGTCGATTGAGTGAGATGGGGAGTCAGCAGTGGGTAGAGAGGGGTATGGGATTGGAGAAAGATGGGGGGAAGAAGGAGAAGGAGGGTTGGCAGAAGGTGAGAAGTAAGAGGTTGGAGGATAGTATGTAGTGGGAGTATGTTTGGAGTGGCGTACAAGCTGAAGTCGATGTTGATGTTGATGTTGCGCGAGATACCAATGATTTGCTGTTTAGATGATGATAGAAGGGTGGGAGGTGGATATGATCTATAGACGAATGGTTGGATAGTTGAAGAGTTCGAGAGATGCAGAAAGAGTGAGAGAGAGAGAGAGAGAGAGAGAGAGAGAGAGAGAGAGAGAGAGAGAGAGAGAGAGAGAGAGAGAGAGATTTGTCATCTTTTCTTTGGAATACCAATATATATATATAGTATATACAAACAAGCAAGCACAACAGATCGATCGATCAAAATATACCCACATGCTAATCAATCAATTCAAGCGGTATTATTATATAGTATAGTAACACTCATGATAATGAGCCAGGTGAGAAAATAAAAATACATCACTCTCTCACGAAATTAATAAGCGAGCTCATTGCCTGGGAAGGGGTATCTTTTTTGTTTTCCCCCCCCCTGGGGTCTCCCTTTTCTGATTTGTTGAGCCTTCTCACTCCTATTTCTTTTCAATATCAAGATTCTAAAGTCCCAGTGTTGGATAGATAGAATGATAGAATTTCTAGCTGAGCGGAGGCTGAGGCTGAGTGCGTAAATGGAAGGAGGTAGGTGTCTATGTTTGATAATCTTGTTTTGATAATCTTGTCGTCTCTGATTCGGATCTGTGTACGATATTCTTCTGCGTATTCTTCTGCGTATTGCGATTTGTATGAGTGTGGTTTGTATGAGTGTGGTTTGTATGAGTGTGGTTTGTATGAGTGTGGTTTGAGGGGATATTAGGAAGAGAGAAAGAAAGAAATGTGGTATGTAGAATGTAGAATGCGGCATGTGGTATGTGGATTAGGATTAGGATTAGAATTTCTTTACCTCCAGCTGGTGGTTGTGGATTTCTGATACGGGTGTGATATGTCACATGTGGAATGTAATGGGATGGATTGGAGTAGTTGAGATGTAATTATCTTATATCGGCTTTCTTGTTTGTGTGATGTGATGCGATGTGTGATCATACATGATATGTGCTATAATATATGCTATCTAATCACACATTCTCGAATCTCGTATTAAGACTCGAGTATAAATATCAAAAAGAAAAATTCAATGGAAAAAAAAAATCTGATTGGAAGATATTGGTACGATAATATTGTACGTCGCTGTGAAATTCGTGCATGGGGAGTTTCGAGTTCGTTGACTCTGAGCTCTGAGTAGGTAGGTAGGTTGGGAGTTGTAGGTATGCGTTCTAATTGTAGGTATGCGCTCTAATTGTTGGTATGACGTTAGCTAGGCACATAGGTAGTTCGAGGAATGAATGAATGAATGAATGAATGAACAGGTTTGAATTTTTGGAATAGCTGATTTTGAGGTTGTGGGAGATGTGATGTGATGAAGTGCCTTTGAGTAGAGATTTGAAGGGAGTTTGTTTCTTGGATTGTAGATTTGTAGATTTGTGATTCTAGAGGGTGAGAGATGGTGAGATGAAAATAGATATGGATAGGGGTAAGATACTTTTACTTGTCTATTTCAACCTTTTCTTCGTGCTGAGTTTGAACTTTGTTATTGCTATTGCTATGGTGGAAGTTCGAACTATCAAATACAAAGATGGGGATGTGGATGTTTATTGAGCATTCTGGATCAAGCGAACTGTATGAATCTCGAGGTATTTACGGATAGGGACAAGAAGTTGATGGACTTCTGATGTTCCCATAGTGTACGAGTACATGTTTTTGGGAAGATACGACAGATTTACGATTGTGTTAATTTATCTTATTGATTAATAGTGAATATCAACGGTGCTGTGATCAACTTTCCAATTACTCACTTCATCCCTCTTTCTTTAAAGCCAACCAAATATTCTTCCCTCTCTCAAATCCACCACTCTCACATCCCCATCTCCATTCCCATCCCCATCTCCTCACACCCTCCACGACCCCAACAAATAATTCTGCACATCCCTCAGAACCACCTCCTCAAGCTCAAACCCCGTCATCCCATTAAACACTCCACAAAACGTTCCCGGCGTAATTTCCACCCCCGTCCTCACCGCCTCCTTCTTCAACACTCTCCTGATCCGCGCCGTATGTCTCTCATCATGCGCTCTCATCCTCCCCGCCACAACGGGAATAACATATTTCTTAAACCTGCGCAAACTAAGTTTCACACCAAGATGCAGATTAAAAATCTCCAGCGCATGACTCCATCCGCACGCTCCAAAATATATATGCGGGAGTACCGTAGAAAACATTTCCGCAAGCTGCGAGGATAGTTCCTCCTCACATTCTCTATCTTGATGCATCTGCATCTCCCTCTCTGCAATTTCACAAAAAGATTCCGTCAGAAGCAGAACATTCCTCTCGGACCCATCTCCCAGTTTAAAAACCTCCGCTTGTCGCATCAAGATGGAAAAATTCCCAAAACTCATCACGAAACCCACATGCTGGAATTTCATCCACGCATCTCTCATCGTCGCACCCGCATGCCAGATTTGCGCCAGAAGCGCGTAGAGAAGTATGAATGACGGAGCGCTGTTTGTGGCAGTTTTTCCTTGCTCCAGGGCCATGATATCGATTGCTCTTTGGAGAGTTTCGAAATCATATTGGGGGAAAGATTTTTCGAGGGCGTTGAAGAAGGTTTTGAAGGTGTCGGACTCGGATTGAGATGATTCGTTGTTGGTTTGGAGGAACGTGAGAGTTTTATCGGGATGCAGATGGGGATAGTGTTCGTGATGATTGAGAAATGTGCTGATCGTTTCGATTTCGGGAGTTCGGTGGGCTTTGGCGAGACCGTTCCAGTCGATTGTGCTTTTCAAAAATAGGTTTCGCGTGGTTGAGTAGCTAGTGTAGATGGTGAGATGAGGTTGATTTTCTTCGAGTGAGTCTTCTGGGTCTTCTGGGTTGTTATTTGTCTCTGAAGTTCTGGAAGGATAATTCGTTGAGGATTCTTGAAGATTGTTCGGGAGAAACTGGGAGGTTTCATCGTGAGTGCTAGGGATGATGTGATTAATAGGTGTATCGAGGAAGGTTACGTGTTTGGATATGCGATCGGGTTTTGAAGGAGAATGAGCTGTATCGGAAGGGTTTGTTCTTGAGAAGTTCTTAACTGCTTGTTTGGAGTTGGAGAGTTCTGCCATGGGTTTCGGAGGTTCAGGAAAACTATCCCCTGAACTTCCTACAGATGGACTCATATCGTCTTGATACATCTCTTGATGTAGTATAGAATCTTTCTGAAGATTTTCTTCTTAATCTTGAATTTATTTATAAGAAAAAAGAGAAACAAGAAGAAGGTCAAAAGAAACCCAGTCGCGCCTTTTAAGCACATCAAACCCTAGTATCCAGTCATTTCAGAACCTTAATTCTAAATTTTAAAAATCAGTATGCGAGCATCCAAAACATTTCCCATCTTTTCGAGTCATCACTATCAAGGAAATTTTGAAAGATATGTCCACAGTCATGACATTATCTGACTATGACACGTTCTTACTCTTTCAAATGGAAATACTGATAGCGAGCTGCTACACAAATTCTTCTGCACATACTTGGAGAGTTTAGATAGTGCACTTCTGAGATTCTCGAAGGATCTGGGAAGTTTAAGTTTGTGCTGAACGGCTCGTGGTTTCGTAAGATGGATCATATCTTGTATTGTGTTGCATATAAAGCAAAAATGCTGTTGGGAGAATGAATAGATGGGCAAACGGTAGATAGATTGACTGATTTTGAAGTTTATATGATAGATGCAGAGAATGATCCTGCGAGAAAGTTCTTGGGATTTGATGCGTTTTTTTGAACGCTGGTTCGACTGATGAGCTTCTCGGACCTCTTTAAACTCGTGTTTTATGGGAAATATTGACTTTTCGTAAAAATATAAAATACAAAATGAAAAATGTACAAGTATATGTGACTATGTGTATGGAGTCCCACACTTGCAGAAACATGTTGGACCAGTCCACGAGAGTAAGTTGAGTTGCATTTTCATACTACACTAATAGTAAAAGAAACATGTAGATATAGGTAGTAAGCTGGATATCGTGTATTCAATAGGAGAGAAATTTGTGATTATGGCAGTGCTCACCAATTCCATGCCGCGGTTGCGACGTAAAAAAGAGCTGAGGGTTCGAGGGAGCGGACAATCACAGCATATAGGAAAGGAATAATTACATTGATTCTTTATTTGAAACTGACTATTAAGTGCGTTGCAGAGACATGTATATCATAGAAGCTGTCCCTCATTCGAAAACATGAAGACTCGGAAATTTGAGAACCCTCATCCGATCAATTCATTTTCCTTCCATACTCGTTGATATCCACAGCTTACAAAGTTAAACATTCCCTCGTATCGGTTTCTCGATACTTGATACAGAGATACCATGAAGAAGAAAATTCGTTACTTCGTGCATTACCCCTTTCATGTGAAATTCCCAAATCCATAGAAATCATTATCCTAACATTCGTTTGAAAGCGGCATCTTATATCATTAACTTCTCGAAAAGCAAGACCATCTTAAATCTCACCCGCTTTAAAATTACGGAAACAACAGGAAGCCAGTCAGACCACAGGGCTCAAAGTTACTCTTAGATTTCCACAAGAGGAGAGCATCTCTGGCACGAATATGTCGCTTGTGGGCGTGCGTTGGCTTCTGCGAGGATTTTCCGGGCGAGTTCTTGTGCAGCATTAATTCTCTCGATCGCAGACTTTTCATAAATTTGAAACAGTGGTTGAGCTGGAGATAAAGGTTCCTCATGAAATTGAACCAATGGTACGGCTGAAGAGGGAGGAACTCTAATAGCTGGTAGTAGTGCTCTTCGCTGCATGAGGGGCGAGAATTCGGTTCGCGAGGTTTGGAAACTTTCACCGGAATCAGATGTCTCGGAAATATTACCACATGTAATGAAATGTCTTTCCCGGGTAGCAGAATTAATGAAGAATGTTCCAGGACAAGCTTCGCAGATGAATGCATGCTCAGTCGCGTAATGTGCGGCAGCTGCATCAGATGTTGGAAAGGTTTGAGTACATTGGACACAACCGAACAATAATATTGGGGTATGCACCTGGGCTTTGTGTGCTTGAAGTTGCGGGTCCTCTTCTTGGTCGAAAAATCCATCACACGCATCACATCTAATCATGTTGCAGGTATGATAGTGGTGGCGAAACGCATTAAGAGTGCTAGACTGGTGACAACAGCCTGATTTGAAGCACCTGAGCTGATATTTACAATCAGAATTCTCATATAGTCCAACGATCTTAGGGGCAGTCGCTGATTCTTTGGAGATAGGAGCATGAGTGATGGCGTGGTTAAAGAAATCATGAGTATTCTTAAACAATTTGGAACACTGAGGGCACTGGAGTTGATGTGCATCTCTGTCATGCGACTCATACGCTGCCTCATCATCAAACTTCATGTGACATAACGGACAGGAGACTTGATGACAGAGTCTATGAATATTCAAGAGAACCAAGCTATCGAATCTTAAACTACATTGGGAGCATAAATGAGTATGCACTTGTTCGGAATGGCTGTTTCGCTCAACCTGGAGTTTGAAATGCTTGGGACATGCCGGACATTTGAAGTTGTGAGATGAAGACCCGTGTTCTTTTAGAAGGGTATATGTTGCAAATGGTTGAATTGGGCAGTATTCACATTGAAAACAATGCTGATCTGACTTATGTTTGTGTAGCTCCGCAGTGTGATTGAACTTGGCGCAGCAGATGGAACATTTGACCATTAAGTGTTCATAGGTATGATGTAGGACAAGGTGGTTCCGACCTTCAAATGTAAGTTGACATTGATTGCATTTCAATAGATGTTCCGCGGTAGCGTGCTGTTGAAGACCAGCATAGGATGAAAACGATTTGCTGCATTTTGGACAGCTCTGTGGATGAGCCGAAGAGTTTATGTGCTGTTCTAGCGCAATTTCCGATTTGAAATCTTTGTTACAAGAATTGCAACTGAAAGAGCGGTGGAACTCTGTATTGTGCTTATCGAGAGGGCCCTGGGATTGAAAATCTTTCTTGCACTTGTTACACCTGAACTTGTGTTTGTTTCCTTTATGGTTGTTTAGAAGCTGCTCTGAACTGAAAACCGAGTCGCAGTCATCGAATTCACAAGGAAAACAATGTTTAATGAAGTTGTGTTGTTTTAGACCGTCTGCAGAATTGAAGGCATCTTTGCAATAAGAACATTGGAACTGGTGCTTGGCCTCAGTATGTTTTTTTCTTGCGTCATCGGTACGGAAAGACTCGGTACAATGAGAACACGGAAGTGGGCGCTTCCCCTGTGGGTGCTTAGCCTGAACATGCTGTCTTCTCGCCTCTTCATCCTGAAAGGGTTTATCGCAATTGCCACAGACCCAACCTTGAATGTGTCCGGTTACTCGGCAGTGCGCTATCATATGCGAATTGACTTGGAAGATGATTTTGCATGTGTAACAGGTAGGAGCCATTGTGAATCTGCATGCGACAACACCAGGTTGAAGCGGGTCGGGTAGATGCGCTGGAAAGACTAATATCATTGTTAGTTTCTAACGGGTCTCTTCCAGGTAGAGTTGCGACCAAACCTTATGAATTGCAAGAAGCGGCAGTATTTTGCAGTGCTCAGTCGGAATATCAGACGCGGCTTCTTAGTAGAAGCTGAATTAGAAATGCGGTATGTGAATGGAAGAAGTCATAGAGCAAAACTTGATGGATTTCGGATTTTTGAGAGGTATTGAGTTGGAGAAGGATCTCAATGATGACAGAAGTATCTCACACGTAAATAAAACCACCGGAGGGGAGGTGAAATTTCTCAACGGAAAAAGTGAAAACAATAAAAGGGATGAAAGATGCCACACTGGAATGGATCAATAGATGTGGGAAATAATTCATGCGCATCAAAACTCACTCAATGAGGCTTTTTGATTGACAGAATGCACGAAGAGGGCAGAATGTTTCAATGTGAAGCCCGACTGGTCAACAATCAGGAAAATTAGAAGAGAATATTGTATTACAGAATCAAGATAAAAAAAGTTGATACAATGAAGAGAAATGAGCATTTCACGCGTTGTAAATTTCACCGGAATTGTTGTGATTGAGAATTGAAAGTGTTGGAATAATTGCAAAAAGCTGGTGAAGGAAAAACCCGAGAAAGGATCATTTTCATTAGCGTGATTGGACTCGTCTCCTCCCCCCCCCCCCCCCCCTCCTCAAAGGTACACTTTCACTCCTGACAGGGAGAAATGGAGAGAGGGAAGAAATAAATGAAAGACTGACATCGGAAGCTTCATTCACTTCCCCGAATGGATAATTCAATGACTACCGTCTCAAATGTATTAATACTATATCACAAAGATGCACTAGGTGTACACCAAACAAACCTCAATTTGACACATGAGAGGGGGAGATCCGATTGGGGCGACTCCAGCAGCTTGCTTGAATAACTTTGAATCTGAAGCACATCGACGAGGAGTCTTCTGAATTCTCCTGAGAATCTCACCCAGACTTCACTTGCAGTTTTACCTCGCCACTTTTTACAGTTCTAGATTTGATATAGCCAAGGCCAACAAGCGTATTTCGCCTACCTAACTGAGGAAATGTGAGCATCTTCATCGCCTCTACCTCTTCATACCTTCCTCTAACAGAGTCCTCTCGAGGTCTATTACAAGATAAGTAGCTCGAGTTGATTTGCCAAGATATACTTGGCTATTTCCATGCCATTTAACTTTTGACTTTGCTACGGTTGAAGATAAATTGGCATACATAGTCGAAGCAACGGTGAGTCCTTGTTGATATTTGCAACTAGTAATCTCTACCCCGGCAACGGCAGGTACATGACTATTCGTGGAGACGCCGGCACTGCAAGCGACCTTGGGGTGTATGTATGTGATGCGTGTATGTATCGGCGTATGGTCATCAGATGAGGCGGAGTGCAAGTCTTCGAACCCAAGCCATGATTATCAATGGAGCGCAGTAAACCCTCATGCAAATGCCAATCCATTGGCAAGTGGAGGAGAGTGAGTCTTCGGCCAAATCAGTATGCGAATAGTCTTTGCATCCCACTTCGTAAGCAAGGCTAGCTATTCTTCGGGCAGATCCAAATCAATCACATGTGCAATCTGCGTGCTTGTACACCAGGTCAAGACTCAAGATCCGTTGACCAGATCAATAAGTGGGAAGAACGAAACGTCTCCTTGGTCGGCAGAAAAGAAGACTTCGCATAAGGGTCGATCATTCTCTTCCGGCGAGAAGACATGAATGATATGATGTTGAATGGAGCATCCGCAAGGGGCCGGAGTCTAATTACCGCGAGATCGTACCAAGTACGGTAACCGAGATGTGTCCCTAGTCCGCCTATCAGGGGCTATGTAATTGATGCCAAGTAGATATCCTCGAGAAGCCCAAGGATTGATCTGGAAAAAAGCAACCCAAGAATACTCTTCATATCTAATGTTATGCAGACTAGCTTTATATTCCATTTTAAGATAAAACAAATGGTGTCATATACAATCATTGAGCACCCGTTCTTTCATTATTTATTCAAAACTTGACTTTGACAGGCAAAAAATAGATTTGATTCAGACCTGCAGATTGCTTATCTCAACCATGCTCGAGCAATTCTATCCTCCTTGCACCTCTGCCGGCCGTGCAGGAAGAGGGCATCTGCCGGCGAGGCATTCCCCCGATTCGAGCGATCATTGGGCATCTGCCAATACTTGGATCATGGCAGGCATAATGCCATGCCATGTAAACAGGGCGAGCTTGAATCAAAGTGAACCTTAATAGAGCACCAGCAGATTCGGATCGGCTTCCACTCGTTATTTCCGAAGCATCCTTATATCGCACAAAAGCGTTTCCAAGCCTTCAATTCTTCAGAAGATGCTTGGGGTTCAACTCAACTTTCTTGCACAGCCCACAACGTCACCGCGGCTTTTCAAGGAAGGGTTACACCAAGCACGATAGACGATGACCTGATGGCTTGCGGGGAAATGTGACACATCTCAGACGAACAATACACTCAAGGGTGGTGTGCGGGAAGGAGAACCGCATTGGGAATCTCTCCGTACGGCACGCTCCGAATGCCTGCCGCGACTGATGACGGTCTGGCGGGATCAAGGCTGAAGGGTGCTTACTCTAAGATGTGATGCTGAGAAATAGAACATACTAGTGCAAGGTGACATAGGTTTGCAAGCCAAAAAGTGGATATTTGGACATGGTAATCTATTTAAGGTTGGAGGTAGCCACTTTGTGGTAATTTACCGGACACTTACTGGCGAGAGGTGCGGTAGCAGCAAGCCTCGCAAGCAATACATTCTTTAGGACAAAAGCCAGTTAAAATTTCTCGCAATCACTGAAGATAAGTTGGACGGTTTGAACGGAGTTTTGCTTAAGGGTTTATCGTTCTAATTTAGGATTGCGGAGGTTCCGGATCCTACAGGTTAGTCTTGCCCGGGCAAGGGATACACAGGCAGGAGGGTTTTAAGGTCAGTGCCATCACTGATCGACTGCTACTCCTTGTTGGGCAGGAGGGGCAAACAGAGAAACAGAGTTTCTTAGGGTTTAGATCACTTTCTGCTCGCATGGGTAACTTGCTTTCATATGTGGTAGCGAATCTATAATTGGGGGGAGTTCTCAACTTTCTCATGCAACAGCTGTCTCATACAGTCGAAAATCGTTTATTGGACGTGCGCTTGAACTTTAAACGTTCACAGGCGTGATAGGTAGGCTTTCACCTGTGATGTTGGTCAATGCGGCCACGCTTTTTAAGCTGCTGAGCAGGGTCTAGGCCTCTTGTTATTGTATTCCGTCGAGATATACTATTTTGTTCAAATATACATTGGGTCGCCGCCGTTGGTTGAACGTTTTTTCGTCTACTCAAGTATGTCTGGTAATGTCCACCCTTCGACACGCGGTGTCCACTCGAGTTTTCAGTCAGATTCCACTTCCGACTCAGCAAATATGGACGCCGAAGCTTCAATCCCTCGGAAAAGCAGCCTGGCCACGCCAGCTTCCTCTTTTGTTTGTAGTCAGTGTCCTAAATCGTTCAATAGGCGCGAGAATTTGAGTCGTCACATGAAAACCCGTAAGTGAGCATAGATTAGAATGGACCTCGGACACTAAAAAGCTTATCCACCGCTAACAAAATAACCTCATAGACGATGTTCCTCGGACTCACATTTGTCAAATATGTGAAAAGACTTTTACTCGGAGTGACTTACTAAAAAGGCATGAAGCCGGCCATGAACGATGGGACAAAAAAGAACCAAAGTCTGAAGGCCGAAGAGGATCGGTGAAGCGAAGGAAGACTTCTGAAGATCCGGAAAGCCACGACAACCTTGAAAAGTTCAATTGGACGCCTACAAGTCGATCAGAATCAGCTCATTTATCTCCAATGCAAAGTGGTCCATCATTTCCGACGGAAACGGTAACGGCAAATTACTCAACTTCTTTTCAAGAGCCTACTGGGATAAATATACCGTTCCTCGAAGCGGCACCGAGATCATTTGGGGCAGGCCAACAACTAAATATCAACAACAATGTACCCCAATCAATGCCAGTACTTGGTTTCTTACCCCAGGAGACGCATTCTTTCACGCAGCAATACCGAGATCCATACCAAGACACTACACTAGACCACCAGTTTCCTACGAATCCTCTTGGTGTAATGGGATATTCTTATCAGATACCCTTCAGTCATACTTCCTATTTGCAACCGGAGAACAACCCATTGGGAAATGCGTGGGTTTCTAACGACTTATATGCTACCATGGTTGAAACCGGAAACGAATGGGAAAATACTGGAAAGCTTTTTAATCAAAATGTTCCCGTCTCAGATTCTATACAGCAACATTTTAGCAATATTAAACTGGACAATTCAGGTCCAACTTCTACAATGCCAGCTAGCGAGCCTCATTTTGAATACCGTCAACCCAAAAATGATATATTGGAATCTGGGCCAACACAATCTGCAAGTGTTGCAAGCGTTTTTTCACCCCCAAATCTACCCTGGAGTGAAGATAAATGGCCTTCATCGTGGAATCCGAGCTTAGATCCAACTGCAATTTTGGAAGCTGATCCAATTGATCTACCGTTTGATCATCCTCTATTTCAAGACCACAACCCAAGATACGATATTTCAGAGTCGACATATTACAAAATGCGAGATTTCTTGATATCTCCCGTTCATGAAGTCCCTCACAGAAAACCACTTTTTACAATGCCACCGTTATATGTGGTCAATATATTCATTGGCCTTTACTTTAAGCATTTCTCACATCAAGTACCTGTACTGCATCACCCGACCGTGGATACCAATCAACTTTCTCCCCCATTATTATCTGCCATGATGATTATTGGATCTACTTACAGCCATGTTAAGAATGGAAGACGACTAGCCATCGTTTTAATTGAAGTTATCGGTTGGCATTTGCTCGCCGCCATTCGTCTAGATATGAGCTTAATTCGAAATCCTATGACAATTTTTACCGAAGCCTTACTCATCCATATGGGATTATGGTGTGGGAACAAGCGTGCATTCAGCGTATCCGAGTCTTTCAAAGGTCATGCTGTTTCCCATATGCGTCGTTTATACGAAAGTGAAAAGTCGACTTTGCCAAATAGATATTCTTCTGCGGACCAAACATTGAAAGATCCCCAAGTTCAATGGAAACGATGGATCGACGAGGAATCTCTTAATAGGCTTTACTGGGTTGTCTATGCAACTGATCGCCAATTCTCCGCGCTTTGGAACCAATCGTCAGCAATGACAATTGGCGAATTGGTAGATGTCAGCTGTCCTTGCGATGAAGTCTTTTGGTGTGCTTCTTCTGCCAGCGATTGGAATTTCGCGCTTGGATCTGCGAAAGTACCACAGTCTTTATCATTTGCAGCTGCTATTGGACCTTTTCTCTTTTCTCCCACTCCATCCTCGTCTATACCCTCCTCGGGTCGTTTCTTGACAGGAGAGGAGCCTATATTTCAACCCCACCACCTTCCATTGCCGAATCTTAATTCATATACCGCATTTCTTGTTCTCCTCGAAATTCAACGTCAGATATTTGATGCCTCACAAGAATCTCTAGTTGCTAGCAAATTCATCAACAGCCAAATCTCATCAGAAATCTACGAAAGTCCACCCAGTCATGATCCTGCTTCATCTCTTTCACAGGCCCTCAGATCCCGCGTTTCTGCGAGGAGACAAGAACTAGCCTGTACGTTGGTGTACTATATATCCCATTTCCCCATACCGATAACTAAACTAATCGAAATCCAGACACGCTTAACCGCTTTTCCAAAACTTATTTACGGCCTCATTTGACTATCCCCCATTCCACATCGCATATTTTCCACCACATCTGTATTGTTCAACACCACATCACAAGTCTTTTTCTCCATATTCCTTTTACCGATCTATTAAATGCGATTGGAAAATCGAGTCAGACGGGTATTGTGCGTGCTCTAGAAAGGTTGAGATTATGGGCACAAGAAGATCCAGAATTGGCTATTGATGTAGCCGTCCGAGCCGCTACTGCAATCATGGAATCGAACAGAGATCTTAATGCGGATGTGACAGGTCGAGAAAAAGGAAGCGAGGCATCCAAGGGAACAAAAAGTGGCATGGTAGATACAGGGGTTTACGGAGCCTCATTATTAATGATGACCCATGTCATTCTTTGGGCTTTCGCACAAGTTGCGGATAAAAAGCAAAAAGATGGTCTGATGAAGAGACTGAGAGGAAACAAAAACACAGCAGACGACGCATTTTTGGAGATATTAGGAAGTGAATTGATGGATGAAGAGAATAGTGAGGAATTAAGTGGTAAGGGAAAGAATATAGACCCGGGAAGACCAAAAGTGAAAGGAGTGTCGAGATCGCTATTTAAAAGTGCAGCGGATACGCTGATGCGATTTGGCACTTGGGGAGTTGCGCTCGACATGGCAATGTTACTACGCTTCAGAGCGGAAGGTTAGGGTGGGGATAGAAAGAGGATGATGCTCAATTCAACCGGCATCTTCTGGTATGGACGTTAACTGTATATCATACAATTTAGACCAAATTTGGGTCGAGCGAAGCTATTTGACTTCTCTAACATCTCGAGGGTTCCTGGAAGACATTTTTCCACCTACCCTCGGTCATGTATTTTTATGTAGAAATATTTACCAAATCAATCATACAAAGTGTATCGATGACAAAAGTATGACACTCATTCTCTTGATTCCATCTCTTCGCCAAGTACTCTTACATTTACCCTCTTCACCATCCCCAAAATCCTAACACCCACCTCCCACCAACTCCCCATCCCCTCATCCACCACAAACCCATTCCGTTCCCACGTCCTCACCGCTACATCTCTCGCATACAAACGCACTAATCCCTGCCACTCCGGCACTGTTCCTTTCTCCTCCTCACTCAACGCCTCTTCCGAAAACCTCGGATTCTCCCCCGCCCATTTCAAAGCAGCCTGGATCAACAGATCTGCATACCCTTTCCCACGATGCTCCTTCAAAACAGCCAATCGACCAAGCCGTACATAAGGCTCTATCCCATCGTGTAGAGTAGACGCAGGATTAACTCTATAAGTCGGAGAGGGCTGGAAAAAGAATGTTGAAGAGGGAGGGATTTCCTCGGTGGGAGATCCGGCAATAATGCGCGTGTTGGGGAGAGGACGGAGAGTATCTGGATAGGGGAGCAGCCGGAGTGTTCCTACTGGGATGTAGGGGTCTGGGGGATCTTCTGCGGGGGAACAAGGTGCGTAGATGACGAAATGCACGGAGCGCGCATCGTCGTTTTCGAGATGGTGGATCAGTGGGACGGCGCGTTGTTCCGAGACGTAGACGCGTTCGCGCACGGTGCAGGAGTCTTTGAAGATGGGGATGGGGGAGGTGGAGGGGTGCGTTTGGAAGGAGGCGGGGAGATGGCAATCCCAGGCGTGCAGGTGGCTGCGGGGGGGAAGTTGGATGGAGAGTTTGTGGGGTGGAAGGGGGGCGGGCATTGTAGTGGTTTGGGGGTTGGGGGATGGAGTTTGGAGTTTGGAGGGAGGGCGAGGATATGAGAGGGGATTTGATGGATGGTGGATAACGTCAGAATTGGAAATATAGAAATAGCACGTGGAAAATAGGTAAAAAATAAGAGGTAGACGGAACAATTTATGCTAAATTGTTTCTCAGAATCATAATGAGTCATCCGGTCACTATCTGCGATTTGGAGGAGGATGTGATATTGATAAGACGCGCAGCTTACTCTGTTATGGCATGCACTAGCATGCTTTGGATGTTCAGAATGTTCATCGAATCTAGGATGTCCAGAAGATTGAAAGAAAGTAATCGTTTGTAATTACAAAATGGACTGCTGTAATCTATAAAGTTCTAATGAACGCCAATGTGCAAAGCTTCAGAATACCCTAACTCCTATCCTATGCATCCTATGCAATTCCTGTAAGTTGTATCGTGGTATCACCCAAATGACTCGCATAAATCCCGTTCTCCAAATTAGAAACCCATATGTAAAAGAAGATCATGCCTGAATAAGATCAGGCACAGCAGGTCCAACTCCCCTGAGCAATACTATACGATTGCCGCTCACCAAAGCATCTCCAACCTTCTCGTTGAATTCTAAAAGTCTTCCAGCTTCTACATGAAAGATTCTAAGCTTGTCCTTCTCATCCATTCCCTGATTATTGACGTTTTCTACTTGAAGTGCCTTTGCCGCTGCGTCCAAAACCCGACCCATCACCCAATCTTTTGAATAGAAGAAAGCACCAGTAGGAAATTTCGAAGTCGTTGTCGCGGCTTCCGCGTCCACATTTATGTATACCCTCTTTTCTGGAGGTACCTTTGCATCTCCTTTTGCCGTCTTTTTGAGTTGGTTCACGGCTACCAATCTTGCAGCTGCGGATGAAGGTTTCGGCTCAGGTAGGACCCGAGTTGATGCGACCTTTGCTTTTTGTGCCGCTCCCCAAGCCCTTAATTTTCCAAAGGCCAATTTTGCACTTGTTTGTTGTTCATTAAATCTGCCGACTCTTGCACCTATGGGTACGAGGTTTTTACAATCGTGGTCTTCCCCTAATCGATGTTTAAGACAATAGTCCCGATTACAAATAGAGCAATGTACACCCGTTGATAAACTCGTTCCAATTGTCGTCTTGCAAGTCGGTGATGCGCATGGCTTTTCAACATCTGCCATCATTTTCCCTTCGCCCAAAGAACGTTTAGATTGATTAGCTAGCCGACGTCTGGCTGCCCATTCTCCAGGTTTTGAGCAATGATGACTTGTTTCTGTACGATGGTCGAGACAAAATGTTCCGCGACATGATTCGCAACGAAAGGGGAGGAAATCTAGTTGATTGCAGTATTCGTATTGGCAATGTACACCAATTAATGTTGGGTCTTTTTCGTCCATGGTACTGAAGGATGTATCTTCAGGAGTTTCTGATCTTGATGAGGAGGCCATGATGAAGGAAAGGAATATATAAACACCTCGAGTAGGCTTCCAATGTGTCGTACTATGGGCGGGGTTAAGATGTGTAGGTGTTAAGAAGGAAATGAATTAGTGACGATGGCGAGGCTGATTATGAATGCAAGTCTAGAGGCTTCTGGAATATAGCCTGGGTAAAACGAAGCTAACGTTGCGTCAAGGCTTAGCGTCGGCCTTTAAACTTTCCGTGTATCAGAAAGGGATACGAAAAACTATCTTCTCTAGAGAACTGCTTGCGAGGACAACATTAAGTGGTGGTTTAAATATCCTTATGTAAACTATTCAAACGATCATTCAGTTGTTGTGCCAATGATTACTTCTTGACCTTGAAATGAGGAGGTTTGTTAGGTTTTCTCCAACAGCAGTGGAATATGGGTAGGATGGATCCAGAAATGGACCATATGAGGATGACCTGCAGGAGAGGAGGGGGCTCAGCCTCATCATGTGTTGAGTGCTGAAAACTTGCAAACGTTGCTCTCTATCTCAAGAGTGGAAAATATTACGAACAACCTTTCGCACGAACAAGCATTGATTACCAAGTCTTTATTTCATGCAACTGGGAGACTTCCGAGGGTTAGATAGCCTGACAGGCTCACCATCATGGCTCTTGAAGTAATTGGTGGAATAGCGAGCATTCTTCAACTTGCCGGAACTGTCTACACGATCTCAAAAACCCTCTACGAAGTGGGAGAAGCTCTATCCAATGCCCCTTCTGATATTAAGGATCTAGCAAGGGATCTTGAAACTTTTTCAGATGAGCTTCATCTGTTATCTACATTACTTCACGGTAAAGATGGTCGCTATGCAGATCAGGTGTATAGGCTTACAGCTAAAATTATTGGGGATTGTGCGACGATATGCACGAAAATCGATCGAATCATTCGGAAATTGAGAAGTGGCAGTGTTTTGGCCAAAATTAAATGGCTGTATAAAGAGAAGGAAATTATGAAGTTGTTGGCGAGGCTTCGTGACTTAAAGTTGAGTCTGATGGGTACATTGAGTGTATTGAGTGCACTAAGAGCCGATAATATGATGGACTCTTTGGGTATAAATAACCCCAGTTTGATTGGAGGCCCGAATAGACATGGTCTATCGACAGAGACACGCATGCAAGTGGAGGACACGAGACTGAAACTGGCAGGCATGTCGATAAAGGATACTACTGAAGCCTCTTCTGGGTCAAAACCTCCGTTACCATCAAGCGCATCTTTAATTTCGGGGGGCTCAAGCTCTACTTTAAGGACATCGGTTACATCGGCAACCTATGTTGGTCCCTTAGCAACTAGAATACCCAGTACAACCGATTTCTCTGCATCTTCATTCATTTCAATGGCGGTGGTGCCAAATAGCATGCCGCCAATCCTAAACACACAAGCAAACCAGTCTGTAGATTCCTTCCACAGCGCCTTATCACATCAAAATCAAGAATCGTTAGATGGCCGAATGAGTAAGTCTTTAAGGTTCAAGACCTGAGATCTGCAATATGTGATGCGGATAGTCTTTTTTTTGAAAATGGGCTAACATGTCGAAATGTTAGAACAAGTGGAGAGCTTCCCCAAGCCAGAAGATTCTAACCATGTACCTGTGATGCCACAGTCTGTAATGGTATCCGATAGACATGACAAAGCTTCATTTTCGGTAGAAGAGAGCCGTCAACTAGATACTTCAGTATCAAAAACTCTTAAGAGCTGGAGAAATGAAATGACTATTTCAGCAATGAGGCATTTCAACATGAATGTCAAAGATGCTGAGGAATGGGTCAACAATTTGCCAATTCCGAGCAATCTTTCGGCAATCACGGAGCCTACCGTTCCAGTGGAAATTTCGCCACACCTACTAGTCCATAACAAGCATCGGAAAATGGAGATGCCTCGGAAAATAGCGAGAGACAGATCAGTTGCGAGGAGCACCAGTAAGGGACGTAAAGGCCTTAGCTACAACTCTCCTCCTCAACGCTCTCCTATGTTTGCCGAACACATTTACATGGAGGGCGATAGATCGGGGCCTTCACGGTTGAAATTACCTCTTCACATGAACACGGTATTTTCTGATCAAATCACGCCTTTCACTCCACCTACTCCTTCCCTGAACCAGAATTATGATTTACTTGAATTTAACGAGCCTTCCCTGAACCAGGATTTTGATTTATTTGAATTCAACCCGCCTAGTTACTCGTATAAGCCTGACAACGGACTCGAGACGCACTATGCTCAATCTGAACGCTTTAGTCAATATAACCCTAGTTATACTACTCCAATTGTTTTACCCCATGTCAATGAAAAGTCGACTGCAGATCAAATAAGGTCTTCGCATGAAATTTCACAACATCATCAGACGCCACAGTCACCTACTCAACAAGCTCAACCAATCCAAATGCAACAACAGCAACTACAAAAGCATCAGCAGCAGCATCAAATGACTCCGTTGTCTCCCCCTCGACGTCTCGGAGTTGCTGAAAGAGTTACTGGGGTAGATTTCGGACGCTGGCATAATGTTGATGCCTGCCAAAGCATGGAAATCTCGGCTACCATATCATCGGGACTCTATGAGCTTGGAACTGAAGATCTGTCACCCAAAAGAGAGTCTAAAGAGATTCACTTGCAAAGCCAAGTATCACAAGAAACCTGTAAAAGAGATGGACAGCCTTCTTATCCGTCTAATATATCACCTTTTGGCAAGAGCGAACGTCGCGGACGTATGGAATTGCCTCCAGATTATCCCAATGATATCTCGAGACAAGCTTTTAACTCACCAAAAAGTGATAAATCGAATAATATCTCTGCTTTCCATTTCCATAATGAAGTTTCTAACAAGGGCCCAGGCGGACTTTGGGTCAGAGGCTTCATAAATGTTAAGTCATTCGATGCTGTCATATGGAGTAATTTAAAACAGTACTTGAATCGAGAGCGCGTTTACACTACCTCAGAAGCAGGATCTGTTCCGCTTGTTGCCAATTTAGATTGGTCTGCAAGTCTCTACAAAGAGAGGATTGCTCAACTCCGTCAGATGTTTCCGCGTGCTGCTAGCTCTATCCAGAAAATACTTGATGTTCTAGCCGTGATGGAAGAGACAATCGGCCTTACAATTGGAGCTATTGCATGGGCATGTCTTCTGGGTGCCGTTGAGGTGTGTTGATCTAAATCAATCAAACAGTAGTAAGCTAATTAATTCTTACAGAACTGGCTTTCCCATAGTACAAACTGGACAGTTGATTACCAAATCAGGATTATCACAGAAATGAGCGAGATTGTTAGCATAATCGCTCGATATACTGTCATGGAGAATATATATGCTCAGTGGAAAGGAATGACTCTTGATAAAGACTACGAACAATCTCTTATCAATCTATCCACTCGAGTTTTGATCTATCTTGGAGCTTTCATTCCGAGTTTCTCAGAGAGTAGCACGAATGCCAATATGAAGCCCTATTTTGAGGAAATCATCGAAGCCGACACGGCATGTCGCGGGTTCACGGTTATCGTGAGCTCCAAGAGTACTGCCATCGATCGGAAACGCTCATTTGAGGAATCCTCGGATGATTCGGACGACACTGTCGATGCCGACGGGACCATCTTGGAAGTCGATGGTAATGATGAAGTGGATGACATGCCATCATCAGCAAAGCGCATTAAGATATAGAAACAGGAATTTGTTTGGAATTGTAGATTGATCATGAAATATATACCCTTGTTTATGTTGTCATCATATTTCTTGCCTATTTTTGTTGGTAATCTGCGTTCATTGAGGGTATCTCAAAATGGGAGTCCATGAAACTTATCAAGTGGAAGAGCTGGATCTAGAATCACTCGAGAAGAAGAGTAAAATTAAATCTTTTGTGGGCGAAACTCATTCATTAATTCGGCTAATAAGAGAAGAACCTCAGATCGAGACAAGTGCGATATTACAGGTATTCAGAACGATTATCATTTTCTGCATAGTAGAATCTCGTATAAAATTCCCAAGTACATAGTTGGCCATTTCGAATTGATCCAAGCAATGACAAAAATGAACAAAACATCGACTGTCTGATCGATACTTATGCTCACCTTTTATTTCCTCTCCATGCACGACTCTCCAAAGTATTATCCTAGCCTGCAAATCCCAACGCCCTCTTCAGTGAAACCAATCTCGACCTCGCTTCTCTTGCCCTCGCCCTTCTACAACTAACACAAACATCTCTATCCTCATGATTCCAGGCATAACGTCCCAACTATTCGAATTCATCAATTAGCATTGTCTCCAAGATTCCACATCTCAAGAAACAAGAGCATCAAGCGAAAGAAAATAAAACATACCATGCCCTCCTCCAAATCCTCATTCGGCACACACTGCCACATCTCCTTCGTTTCCTCCTTATTTGCTCCGAAATAATCTATGGGTCTTCGAAGCGTCTGTATGACTCCAGAGAAGTCGAGGTCGATGGGAATAGCAGGTGACTTTGGTGCTCTGAAACGCTGGCTTTCAATATCGTCGATGGTGTAGTCCCTTGGATTAGATAGTGGTTCGGCTTGAGAAGATTCGTTTTCTGAATAATTTTCACGCCGCGATCTCTGTGTTGACGCGGAAGTCGATTCTGGATTTGTGTTTTGATGTGCATCTTGAATAGTTGGATTTGGGCTTTGTGATTCATTTACGCGATGTTTGAAGTGGGGAATAGAGTTTTGATCGCAGGTATCATTGATTCTGCGATGTCTGTCTCCAAAGCTGTTGCCTAAATCGTACTGTAAACGATTTCTTGAGGATTGGATGCTGGGATATTGACCCTCGAGATCGATTTCACCATCTTCACGGCGTCTTTGACGCATGAAATTATTGAAATAGGGATTTCGGTTTCCGGACTGGCTTCTGGGGTTATTTTCCTCTTGTGTGAAACTTCCAGGGATGGAGAATTGAAGTTCTGGATTACTCGTGCTGCGAGGTCTTCGTATGGGGTACCAGTGAGAGTCTGTCTTGAATTTGGCGTAAAGCTTTGGGTGTTGGGATTTTGGATATCATGGGCTTTGACTGCATATGATGAGGGAGAATCGCGGTTTTCAATGCTATCGTGTTGACTGAAATGTTGGTCTTTAAGATGGTCGGTACTGTGGTGCATTTGAGGAGAAGGGTCTTGGAAGCTGTGGATGATAGATTGTTGACTCTGTTGGCTCTCTATATCAGTTTTTGACCAACGGATAGGGGGAGAGAGAAATCTCTTGAATCTTGAGGGTGTGTTCATATCTGTGGTGGGCATGGCTAATAGTTCGTCGCTTTTCTTTGTGTATTATTGGTTTAAAGTATTGTCGTGAGGACGTAGACAAAAATCATGCAGCTATTGCTCTAAGAAAGAGTCGAAGGTTCAAGAGGTAGTTGTTAAATCTCGATCCAAGTTTTATATGGTGTGTATACGGTTGTGAATATCAAGACGAGGGGTCGGCTTCATGCCGTACATTGAGGGCAATAGTGGATAGTATATGAATCATTAAATACATTAGAGAAATACTCATCTCTGACACAACAGTACTTATGAATACTCAAAACTATCTATATTATTCAAATACAAATTCTTTCATCATCCAATAACATAATAATAACTTGACTAAATGCCCAGTAACGCGCCTTTTGTCGTACTTGCCAACTGTAATCTCCAAAACTTTTGTTCGGCACACAAGAATACTTCCCCATCCTTTCCAAAGCAGAAGTTTGCTACGCCTCCAGGAACTAAGATGGTGCCGATTAAAGTCCCGGCTGGATTCCAGACCTCCACACCATCGCCACAGCCGGAGTATACATTACCGTGAACATCACATTTGATGCCATCCGGGAAGCCATCGACTGCATATGCGAAAACTCTTCGGTTTATGAGGAAGGGCGCGCCTGATGTCATGTAAACATCAAAAGCATAGATTGTTGCAGGACTGAATCGTAATTAGCGAAAGATCCATGATTGTAAGATGAAGAGACATACCGCGTCAAATCCTCGTTTCCATCCCCGTGAATTTGATCTGTATCCGTAATATAAACCACTGACTCATCCGGTGAGAAAGCAATTCCATTTGGTCTACCAAAGCCATCTGCCACAACTCTAATATCTCCTGTAATAGGATCGAATCTATATACTTGACAAGGGAGTTTAGGCTTCAATCGGAAATCTTGCTCCCATCCATAACATGGATCTGTGAACCAAATGCTACCATCTTTAGCCACCACGACATCATTTACAGAATTGAAATGCCTTCCATGAAAGTTCGTCACCATAGGTTTCGGAGGTGCAGATCTGGGCATATGATAAATACCACCTGAGCCTGCGCTTCTATTTCCTTGAGCACAAAATAGAATACCATCTTGATAATTAACACCACCATTCGGCATGTCAATGCCTGGTGGTGGACGCATTTTAGCCCACTCGGCAGATTTGATACTTCCGTCGTCATTGCGATGGAGCTTAATTCTAGATATCAGAATAGTTGGGAAGTTTGCGGAACTGGTAGCTTGTAGGAGGTTTGATGTGACATAGAGTTCATCATGGTCGGGTAACAAAACACAGGCTTCGTGAAAGAAAGGGTTGTTGGTTGATCCAGCAGTGGAAAATAGGAGTGCATGTGACGGGGCTTCGCCAACTAGTGATGCAAATGCGGAATCATGTTGAAGAAGAGTGACTTGGTCTGAAAGACCATATGTGGTACTGATGGAAATGTGTCAGCATCAATGTTTTTGGCAGAGTAAAAAAGACTAACCCAGCATTTCCACTGCTTGCCTTTAGTTTGTCAACAATCTAATAAGAAATGTTAGTGAGCTGCAAGAATGCAATCACGAAGTTTAAGATTACCTCTATCTTGGTAGGCACACTTGATATAGCAGAATTGGTAACTGCTGCCATTTTGCGCCTCTGAAGCTTTGAGATTGATATGAAGTTCAAAGCGTCGTAAACACCAACGTGAAAGATTCCTGTTTTACGTAGGTATTGAAGCTTGTTTGGTCCTTTTTGGTCAAATGAGGTCTCGAATCTTGCGAGCAATAATAATGGAAAAGGTGGGGTGGTGATGTCGGGGAGCTACCGGCCGGTATTTATCCGAGACATCGCGGGGGGACTTGGAACGACAACGACCAGAAAGCTCGCTCGAATGATCTTTGAGTGGTAGAAAGCATTTGAACATGATCACCTCACTGGCCGATCATTTTGAGATTTTAAGAAGTTGAGCGACACCAGTATTTACACGGGTTTCAAGAAAGACAGGAGTTTGAGACAAAAATGTGCTCAGATAGCCTGGAAGAATATTCGCTCGAGATATAAATCGCCATTTCATTGATCTATAGTATGCTATTATCTTCTGTCAAGAACTGAGATTATTTGAAAGGTTTGTAGCGCGAATAATGAGTTTATATGGAAAATTCTTCACTTTACGTTGGAGGTTCAACGGTTTTGCGGGATTCGTTGGAGGATTATGATATGTTAAGAAAACACGACTACGACGCATCATCACGTATCCCATGATGCTTGCACTAGAACTTCAGAGAGAGAAGAGCATTAGGTAATCAAATCATCCCGCTGACGAGTGTTCTCGTGCTTAGCATTGCATTTATTGTTAAAGAAATTCAGACTTTGACTCCTAATTACTCAGCAGCAAAACTAAATCAACTATGCCATTTCATACGCACGAACAGAACAAAAAAGAGAGAGAACGTTCGCTTCGCGCTATTACATCCTCACCTATTCATCGCTTCCGACCCCTCAACCAATAACAGAACAAGAGACGAAAAATAAAGTTGCCTTCTCCTCATTACATGTGTACTCATCCCAACCTTACTACTCATTTCCTTTACATTGCGCAAATCAACCCTACAGCCACTGCTAATGCGAAGCCTAGTCTCAAATTGCACATAATCGGCGTCGCGTTCGAGGTAGTCAACTGAATTGGTCCTGTCGTCTGCGCCGCCGTGCTATCCTTAGTGCCAGTACTACTTCCAAACACTGACTCTCCAGCCTTAGAGCTTATACCACTTGGCGATGTTGATTCCCAGTCATTGACCCCGGTACTGCTCGCCCATGAAGAGTCCCAGCTGTCAGCTCCGGTACTGGTTGTCCATGAGGAGTACCAACTGGCACCCCCAGTACTACTCGCCCAGGACGACCCCCAATCGTCAAACTTTGTACTACTCGCCCATGTTGACTCCCAAGTACTAAGCGGGGTTGCTGTCGTGCCGCCTACTACTCCAACAGTTGTAGTGGGCCAAGCAGTGGCAGTGGTTAAGATACTCTCGAGACTGTATACACTATCTAGTATGCTTACAGCATTATCGACATAGGACTTTGCGTCTGGAGACAGTGAGGTATACCAGTCCGGCTTGTTGGTACCGGAAAGTTGTTCGTCTAGCTGCGAAACCCCTGTTGGAGAGTATCCAAGGGTTGAGGCCGAGGTGGGAATGTTGGAAAGTTCGGAGGCAAGGGATGATGGGATATTGAGAGCAGTGGAGAGAGAAGAGAGACTGGAGACTATGCCAGAGCTGCATTGAGTTATGAGTGTCAGTTGGAGGCCATTGGACGGAGGTAAAAGAAGATGAAATCAGAAGGTGAAACTTACACTACAGCCGCCTGACTTGCATCCAATGCAACGTCCGGTACACCAGCCTGGTTTGGATCAAATGGATAATCGGCGACAGCATCTTTATTATCATCCGATGGATAATTCGCAAGCACCACAGTGCAAAGACTAGCCGCCAATACCAAAATATTGATATGCATACTTGCAATTCTGTACGATACGTTACTGCTCCGAAATAAGTTGCCTTGCCAGAGGTAAGATATTTAGTAAATGATATTTCGAATGCGAAAGACTGCTGGAATTTTCAAGTGAAAGACGAAGAACTTCGGAAACAAATGAAAGAATAACATGAAAATATATGCAAATTAAAATTTGGATTCTCTCATGCAAACACGGCTCATCACAAGCTGCATTAGCCACGTTTGCTTCCCACGCCACGTACCCTGCCATGCCGGGCAAGTTTCCCTGGTAAATAATCATTGTTTCGGCTTGATCAATATGCATCCTCATTCTGAAAAAAAAAAATTCAAGCCTCAAATACTCTTGGAAAGTCGTCGTAATGGGAGACTCTTGGTTTAAGACACGGTTCGGCAGCAATCATCATAGCTTGATATACTGAGGTTTAAATGCGTGTAATTCGATATTAGTAAATAATTAATTCGCATGCATCGATAAAGACATAGAAATCTCACTTTGACATCAAAAACCGTTAAAATCACATCGCTAGCATGAAATTTGTTCCCCTTCCTCTCTCCTCGCTTCATTTAGTTCGCAAAAACAAGAGCAAATCCCTCAATCTCTCAGCATTTCTGTAATCTTTGTGTTGAATATCTCAAGACTTCTGATTAAATCTACGCTTGGTAGTTTAACCTGGTCAATGAATGTGATTGATTAGTCTTATCCATATCCCGTTCCCGCCCAAGCATGCACATGGGCTACTCTGTCTAATAGTCTTTCAAGAGAACGGAGCTCCGCTTGACGCCTCACTGCAACTTTCGGTACTTGACATGTTCCCCCACACTATACGTAATCTAGTCACACAAACATTACGTGTGTTTGCACCACCACATATTCACAATACCTTCACGGGATGATCATAGTTAGAGTTAGGGCGATGATCTGAATCTACTGGATAGTCTGCCACATCTAGGTGATGGTTCGTGTTTCATTCAGTGTCATGTGTTTCGTACTCGCTTGCAGTTTGATACTGTTGGTATCAACTTGGGTTGATAAAGTGTATAGTACTTTAGTCTATTGTGTTTCATTCATGCTTGATCATTATTACTATGGGAAGCTAGTACTTAATATAGTAGAAGTGCTAGCGCTAGTGCACACGCTAGTACATACGCTAGTTGCAATACAGTGCCCTCTTAGATCACATGATCGATATCCCGACAGATACAATGGAGTAGCATGGGGTAGTCCGTAAGCTGACGCAAAAGTCTGCTGAAATTCCTATTGATATCTTTTACCGTCTTGGGATTTATGTTCCATGTGCATGATTTAATCCATTGGAACAACTTTGATGAGGCTACAAAGTTGAGTATAGTCCTGTAACTCTAAGCACAGGTTTCGAGCTTAAAAAATGATTGCCTCCACTTCTGCATCTGCATCAGTCCATCTACAGTATTCTAGAAACAAAACAATACAGTCATTACTCCACGCTCCCTTCAATATTTTGAACGTTCATCAGAATTTGTTTCGATCAATTTCATTCGCAAAGGTTTGGTTTCAATCTTCCGAAATTCGGAACATAATACACAACCCAAGAGCTAAAAGTTGACTGTAGTTGTGACAGAAATCGGAATAGTATCATGCCACAACGATTTTTTTAAACAAGTGGTCAATCAGAAATAGACAAGAAGAGGTAGTTCCTTACTGATAGCTATCATCTCAGTAGATGGAATACCAATTAAACCTCATAAGTACTGAGTCGGGAAACCCATGGTGATATAATCGTAGTATCTTAATGAATTCCATATCAGATCACGTTTTTTCACATCTTTTTCATGTTTTTTCAATGTGATGCCCATGTAGATATTATAACCCTAGGATGAGCTCCCACTGGTAGCTGGCTGTGGTTTCTTGATTCGTTCCACACTCTTGCTCAATATCTGTGGTCTATTACTATCCTTGTCGGCTAACGATCATGGGATTTTTTTCGATTCTTGGCAAAGCATTTCTTTAAATGTACTGAATCCAGTCGTGATTGCTGTTTGGCAGTTCGACTTATATCAGCGGAACTTCATAAACGCTTGAAGCAGGCATAATGAGTGAAAGCGTAGATTTCCGTTGTGGGGGATAGAAATTGAGGATAAAAAATCTCACAAGCAAAGAGAAGAGTGGTCAAACAAGAGGAAGAAACATAAGTGATTGAGTTTAAAGTACTCAAAAAAGATGAAGAAGTGTTCGTTACAAAATGTCACGCAACCACGAGTCTTTTCGCCCACACCAGAATAATGATGGGTTTCTTTGCTCTTCACATGATTCCTCCATTGTCAAATATAACAATACGATATAAACTTAAAGAGAATGAAATGGTACAGTGCCGTCATATGTTGCATGGGCCAAACGGAACAGGATAGAAGCTCACTTCGTCTTTCCAACAAAATACATTTCTACGTCAGGGCTCAAGCTAATTCATCTTACTCTTCAGCGAAATCCTGCATCTGGGTCTGTGATCCGAGGAACGGTCTGCGTTGCTAATATTTTTACGTAGGGTGGTCTAGATAGGTCGGGTAAAACGGTCGGCTGTAGACGACCATCGGTTGACTCGGGCTGGATCGGACGAGATATTCCCTCGTGGTCGAAGGGTTTGGGTCGATTGTTTAGCAGAATATTTGGCGGATTGAATTGCTTTGCTATTTTTAGAGATTCGATTGTAGATTGACTGGACTGATTTGATTTTTCAGATTCCAAAATCCAAATCGGAGACTTCCAAACCCAGATTTTGATCCCCAGTATTCACCCCGGATTTCCAGCGTCACATTTCAATCTCAGAATCCAAAGATATATCAACTTATTCGACTAAAAAATGGTTACAAGTTCCAAATTTCGTGAAATAACATTCATAAATAGGTAACTATTTTTAGTTCCTTCACGGGCCGGGTCATGGGTCTGGTCTCGAAGGAAAAATGCGGTAAGAGTGCAAAACTCACACCTAGCGAGAATAGGCTCCAGCGGCGTCGTAGGTAACCGAACTCCTGGCATTTTGTGGTATCAAAACAAACTCGTAGACTTTACCAAAATATAGAACTATAAATATCTGCATAAACCAGCTATCAATTCAGATACAGACTCATACATCCTCTCATCTTAGCTCAAACTATATATACAACTCATTTATTCTTTACAAGCAAAATCACATTATCACTTCCAGATATACTCGACAAAAATGCCAGCATCCAGTCAAACAAGTAGTACTAGACAGAGCAGCAGTTCTAATGCAGGCTCTACCACAAATTCCAAAAAGGATTCAGGAAAGTCTACCTCTGACCGCAGTCGAGACACAACAGCAAACTTTACCCCCGGATCAATTCGAACCGCTTCCCCAAAGCCAATTGATCCAAAGGCCAAAGTCCAAGACCCACCGGAGAGGAGAGTAAAACCAAAGAATCCAGCCACAACCAGTAGGCGGTAAAGCGAACCTCGTCGCTCAACTCGACCCTCAATAATCATCTGAAGAAAATCGGTTTTGGTGATCAACAACTATGGGATTAGAAACACGACCCGAGCAAACCTGATTCTCTGGAACAAAGCAAGCAAACGTTTCTGGTTGATGATCAAATGCTTTGGTTAACACAATTGGAAAACACAGGAAAAAGAAATTCACCTCGGATCGAAGTCTTAGGGAGGAGAAACTCTGCATGTAAAAAAGATGAAGGCAGTTCACTAGCAATCTTTCCTTATTAGGAAAGCCCTTTAAGTAAATTAGTGAGATAGAAAATTTAAAAACACTCCAGCATCTATAATCCCGGCTATGAGTTTTACTCAGTCATTTCCATCCGAGAAATTTGGCTACATCTCATGTTATTTGATTTCACAGAATGAAGCCGTAAGATACGCAAATCTAGATTCTTTTGATTGATCTGTCTGCTCATTGACCCTTCTCAGTGACCGTATGTTTTGTAGACGACCGAGTTAATTTCTGTGTGATCAATTGCAATTTGGCATTTCTATCCTCAACTCTCGTTTCCTCAAACTCACTTCGGATAGTATAATCCCCCACAAACCACCACACTTTCGAGTATAATAATCGTACTGAGGGGAAAAAGACGAGGAGACATGATAGCGACGGTGAAGATTGAACATACACAATAACGCAGAACGAAACACTATCATCCGTGTAACTCCTCCATGAGATGAGTGTTGAAACACGCGTTATGCATAATCAATCCCTCCGCTCATACTATCTACAATGACCGAGAATAATAATCCCAAGCAAAGGGCCAGAGAATGCGGAGCTAGGATACAGTGGATATGCAAGTATTTAGCGATATAATCTGCAATAACAACAAATGATTTATGGTATTGACAGGCGTAAGATTTGACAACACTGGAGTTCCAACAATTAAGGACAGGAATCAAGAATCTTCCAGTACAAACGCTCGACCAAGGAGCAAATTGCTAAGATGCAGATTGTGAACCGCGACGTTTCCAAGGTTCTGGGAAGACTCAAAAGGGCGAGACTTCTCCTTTATCTAGTAGCAAACCATAATATTGAACATAATATACACCTCCTGACAGCATCCACACTTGCATAGACACACCATCAACCGGGCTCTAATTGATCCATTCCAGAATTTCGAGATCCTTACTAAAAGAGCTAGCATTTGCTTGAAATTAGTCAGTGTATTCGTCAATATCATTTTATATAATGTCCTGGTACTCTCTATCTTTGAAATTTCAGAAATGAATCAAACTCCGATGCCAAGAATGGTAAGATCGCTTGCAATAAGACTCATCTTCCTTTCAATACTTTATCCTTCACAAGAGTTGCTATTCAACTGAAATGAGACTCATAAGTACAAAAGGCAATAAGAAATCCAATAACGAGAAGTGAAAATATTGATATGGATGACAGCGACATCCAACTCGAAACAGTTAGGTAGGTGACGGTGAAAGTCTGTGATAAGACCTGATGGAAAGTAAAACTCAAAAACCACTTTGCTTCTGTCAAGAAAGAGCAAAGCAATGGAGA